CGGAATGTGTTCTGCATTCTTTTATCCTACCTATGCTGATAATAGAGGCTATTTCAGTTTTTCCTTGATGTGTAGGTGAGCTCACGGGGCCCAAACCGGGTGTGTAGTTAACACTGGCTCTAGCAAGAGCAGTGCTTTGCAGAATCTACCACCGGATCGGAAACGCTACTCACTGAGAAGATCCGGTGAGAAACTCAGTTGGCTCTGTCTATGGGCTAATTCACTCGTCGAGCCCTTCATCGCAAGCGACGGCTTCGACGAGGACGGTGACCGGTGCTTGTGGTACCCAAAAGCACCGTTAATGGATCGGCAGGATCCGTAATGACGTAAGTGTTCTGCGACAATAGTCACTCGTATTTATAGTAGAAAGGGGCGGTCGCTTTATTATGAATTCTTATGAATACCGTCTTAAGCATTCGCTTACACTCGTTGACCTAACAATAGTCAACCAACTTTGTCAATATTAAGGAGAGTGTTAACTTTAACTAACTAAATAGTGATGTTGCGACGATATATATAATAAAAGTATTATTTCTCCTTAGTACGTCCCTTTCTCAGACGACGTTATAACCGTACACTCGCAAAGAGATACAGAACCCGTCTGAAACTGTTATATTCAGTACTAACACATAACTGACCAGTGAGAGCGTGTATTTACGAGTTTTATTATTGTCTCTTTATATTTGTCCTCACAACTATAAAACTGGACATTTTTTTATAGAAAAAACTATTCTTTAGCTAAAACGAGTAAGGTTTTTGTAATGCATTTGACGTAATTCGCGGGAATTTGTTGCCTTTATAAATGTAAAAAAGCTATGTTAAGCTTACCTATGAAAATGTTGCTGTAATGGCGTATTAAGAGCCCGCATGTAGTGAGGCTCCGCCAACTCCTTTCCGTTTTGATTATTTGACTCATCCTAAGTCTCTAGTACACCACGTAACAACAGTTTGGCCGAGAGTTGATCCACCCATTTGAGTCTACCCATTCCTATCATTGGTGTCCCTTTTTCCTCTTGTTTAAAAACTCATCTCTGAACTCAAGCATGGTTCGCGGCAGTATTGAACTATACCCACCTACCACCCTCCTCAGCCAGCGACTTGGCTTTGCCCCTGGCTTAGCTAATGGCCATGAATAATGGAAGCCACTTACAATAAGGTAGGTGTGCTAGTTTGTCTATAATGACAATAACAAAAAAAACGTGAATCTTATAATCCAGCTTAGTTGTCTTTTTCTCCACCTTATCCCACTAGGTGGGGTCGGCACAGCTAATTTTTCTCTTCCATTGTCTTCTATCAGCCGTCATCTCAACACTTACCCCTCTCCCTCTCATATCGTCATTCACACACTCCATCCATGTCTTCTACGGTCGACCTTCTTCCCCTTCTACCTTACACTACCATTTCCATACATCTCCTAGACACATGTATCTTCTCTCTACGTATCACATGTCTGCTCTTTAATTTGTGATTACATGGACTACTTTCACACTTCCTCTGATAAACTCATTCTTTATCTTCTCCATTCTTGTCACTCCACACATCCATCTCAAAATTCGCATCTCTGCCGCATGCACTACTCTTTCATGCTTTACTTCCGTCGCCCAACATTCAGATCCATACAGCACGACAGGTCTAATGATCGTTTTGTAATTTTTTCCCTTAAGCTGAAGGGGCATTCTAGCATCGCGTGCTGTTGCAGAGACCTGACGCCATTTAATCCAATAATCCAGCTTAATACCAGTAAAATTACGGGCGATTTTGGAAGACTTTTCGAGAAAATAATAGAACAGAGAGCAATGCTATTAACTAATTAAATAAATAAGTTATTGTAAACGAAATTATTAAAAAAATACAATATAGATATTATATTATGTAGGTGTGATTGATTGAAAGAATTAATACCGTGCCATAAAAATTCGCCAAAATTATAATTGGCGAAAGTACTAAGGCATCTTCGTCTTTGTTTTTTAACGTGCTCGATAACGTAAAATTTAACTCAAATTTGTATGGAGTTGGACAGCGCCCCTAGCGGCAAACGTAGGTACACGTTCTGACTCCATACAAATTTGAGTTAACTTTTACTTTATCGAGAACGTTAAAAAACTCGCACTAAGCACACTGAACTCGCACCACACCACGTATTCACATTACGTAATTAATAAATTAAAAGTAATGTGTTGCTTTTTTTAAGATACGAAGGTGTTGACATCCACTCATCGATCTAACTATGCATAATCCTTCTACCAGATCTAAATGTGCCGGTCGATAAGTAAAACTACGATTCGACTTCGGTGGGTGGCGCATTTACGTTGTAGATGTCTATAAGCTCCAATAACCACTTAACACCAGGTGGGCTGTGAGGTCGTCCACCCATCTAAGCAATAAAAAAAAAAACTGGTGATAGGACCTCTTGAGAGTCCGCGCGGGTAGGTACCACTACCCTGCCTATTTCTGCCGTGAAGCAGTAATGCGTTTCGGTTTGAAGGGTGGGGCAGCCGTTGTAACTATACTTGTGACCTTAGAACTTATATCTCAAGGTAGGTGGCGCATTTCCGGTGTAGATGTCTATGGGCTCCAGTAACCTCTTAACACCAGGTGGGCTGTGAGCTCGTCCACCCATCTAAGCAATAAATAAAAAAATATAAAAAAACTCAGTATGCTACAAGTTGAATGAGGAAACCAAGATCATACCGCTTCACGTTTCAATGACTCGACCATCAGCCGCGATGGTCAAACCGCAGCAATGCCGACCCACCAGTTCCGAGGTGTCGTCGAACTCACTGGATTCACATTTGTAACATTATCTAATTCAGGAATGAATGCGGCCGCATCTGTTTGTGTTATGTGCGTTCGAGCGTAAGAACTTAACGGATTGTATATGTGCTTAGGGCAATCCTAAGCATGAAGTTTGGTATGACTGTTTTTTGAATTTGGCAACACAGTCAGTGTAAGACAATAAAAAAAAAAGATGTGTGGTGTCGTAGGATAGGAACAAAGTTCCTTATATTATAAAAATATTAATTTTAAGTTCTATTCGAGGTATAAAGAAAATAAAACTGGAGGTATCGCAACAACCCACGGACATTCAGTAACGTGCGAACTTATTGTGGTACACTTCATTCACGGTTGTTTGCATAAGAGTTAGTGTATTGCGCAAACGAACGCTCTGAGATCGTGGTCAATGAATGATAAAAAAATATGTTATTCTTTGTACGTTATTACAAAGTTAAGTCGTACACTGTGTGCATTACTAATAACAATCTTACGTTACGGACGTTTTTTTCCGGTTAGGGTACCCCTCCGCATCGTCACATAAGGAGCTTTGTTCCAAAATTATGTTCGTACGTGCACGTTTTGTACCTTAAAAGAAAATAAAAATAACCTTCGCTCTGAATTTAGCTTCGTTGAAACGATCAGTCCAAAATACAGTCCACGGTCTACACTCTACACAATCTGGAGGTTTTTTTTTAGAACAACAAAAAAATTTGTTGCCTAAAAAGCCAGACGGGCGTACGGCCCACCGGATGGTAAGTGGTTACCGTATCTAATACATCGCGATGGTCTTTAGTGGTTTTGAAACCATATTGATATCTACCGTCGTCAATAGCTTGACAGTCAATCGCAAGCAAGTCAATCGCGAACATTTGTTAAGGACGTATTTCATTGGAAAAATTTGTACCCGCCTTCGGGATTCGAACACCGGTGCATCGCTACATACGAGTCACACCAGACGTCTTATCCTTTAGGCCACGACGACTTTATAGATATAAATATGAGCTCTAGGTTTCGTGCTAATATAAAATAAAAGTTACAAAATTTGTTTGTTTCATCATTTATTTCGACAAATATACGGAACATAACATTATTATATATGTATATATATATGTATATTGCATGCAGTAAAAAAAAAACACTGTTCGCATGCATTATTATTAATATAATTTTTTTCCTAAAACAAATTTATAACATCAAATAATGCCCTTGCACTAAATAAAACAATTATTTGCTATCTAATTAAAGAGTTCTTACATAAAGGTAGAATAGACAAAAAAAAATGTTGAAAAAAAAAAAAAAAACAAGTGGCACATTGAATTTATTTACACTGGCTTATTAAAATTTCATAAAAAAAAAAATTCAAACGCATTCATAATTTTAATAATTTTTTTACAATTTACAACTATACATTTCGTTGCAGTTATTATATTTCGCTAAAAAAAAAAATATATGAATTATTTTATTGAAAATACATTCGAAAAATTTACATTTACGTAAGCAGCTCTTACGTAAATATATTCAATTAGTTTTTCAACACAGTACAGATATATCACAGAACATACAATTCTAAAAAAATATATATATAATATACTGAACCGCATTAATAATTATTATTGTAACTTGTAAAACTTGCACCGACTTAGAATTCTAAGAAAATCAATTAATATCTCAGACAAAAAAAAAACAAAAATCAGTCCTTTTATTTTCACTTAACATGTGGACACGTAAATATCGAGTCGAATATAATTTACGAACTACGAACTATAGACGTGGACCCCGCGGAAACAAGGCACCATCTTCATTCGACGAGGAATCGATATAACCTTCTATTTTTATTTATTAAAATATTTCAACAATAGCCAAACAATCTCTCAAATACTTTAATGCAATTTCTATATCGAGGGATGAAATTCTATTTGGTTTAAGCCACATTTCGCTAAATACTCGACATATATCGTCACTATTCACTACATAGTATAAAACAAAGTCGCTTTCTCTGTCCCTATATCCCTATGTATGCTTAAATCATTAAAACTATGCAACGGATTTTCATGCGGTTTTTTTTTAATAGATAGAGTGATTAAAGAGGAAGGTTTATAAGTATAATAACATTCATTAAATAGTGGGGAAATCAATAATAAATTACAGTTTCCGAAGGGAAGCGAGGGCGGGTCGCTAATTGTAATTAAAGGTCAATTTTATTTGGTATTAGCATCAACAGTTCGATGTTTTTAATTAAACTTCAATTAAGTTTACCATTGAAATAGCTGATGAAGTTTTTTTCCTGTGATAATTTTTTCCAATTAAACATCCTAGCTTCAGTAAAGTCGCCAAAATATTGCTTAAACCAAATTGCCTTTTACGACTCGATATGACCTTTGTCGCTTGATTATATGTATTATTGAGCAAAAGCGTCTGCCGTATCTCGAATGTCTCACAAATAAAACATTAATTAACTAGAAACAAATATACATTGCCGCCTCGCATTGTATCGAAAACAAGGATTGCGTCAGCAGTCCACTGCAGCCGCGGAGATATAGCGACGTATAGCTATAGAAGTATAGCAGTGATTAAAAATGATTTTAACACAATGTTGTTTTTCGTCGTTTTTAATTCTCACAATTAAAATAAACAGGTCTTAAACAGAAATTTATTTTTAATACATCAAGTCTTTCGAAGTGATTCAATGGAGCGTGTCTGGGTCAAGACATCGTCCGCCGGTCCACCGCTGCGGACCTGAAGGGACATGTGGCCCAGGGTCAGCAACTGACTTGAGGCGTTAGGGCATCTCCAGTGGCGTTACTTAGCGAAGCCGCTGGACCAAGGGAATTCACTGACGAGAATATTTATAATTCACGAGCACGATTCTTCACTGTACGAAGATTCGTTGGTGTCCCTTGACCTGTAAGGTTTGTTATTTTGAAAAATTCATGAAATTGAAGATTACCAATACAATATAAACAATATAATATTTCTAAAGATTTCATTTTTGTTCCATTTGGGGTAGAAACTTTGGGCCCCTGGGGTCCATCTGCTAAAAGCTTTTTTAAGGACCTTAAAAAAAAACTATTTGAGGCCTCGGGAGACCCGAAGGCCCGTACGTATTTTGCACAAAGAATTAACATTGCTATCCAGCGTGGAAATGCTGCCAGCCTTCTGAGAACGCTGCCAGCTGGCGGTGAGCTAACACAGATTTTCTATTTATAAGTAGCTTTACCTACATAATTATTATATAATATTTTGATAATATACAAAAATAGATATATATAAAACAGATAATTACAGAAAAAGTAGTTTTATTTTTTGAATCCACTTTTTTTATTGTTCCAGGTTTAATACTCGAAACAAATCTGACGTGAAGCAGTGCACGGAAGATAGGCGTGTTTTATTATTGTCAGGTAAATTTTACAAAACTCATTCAATAAATATAAACACACAACAGGTACTTTTATACAAAAAAACTAATTGACAATAATACTAGTCGGTACAGACGTCAGGTAAAAAGACGTCAGTTCACGGCAGAAATAGGCAGGGCGGTGGTACCTACCCGTGCGGACTCACAAGACGTCCTACCACCAGTAATTACACCAATTATGTTTTTGCGGGTAATACTCTAATAACCACTATATTAAATGTTGGGGACTTTTTGGCGGGAACGCGAGGAGTGAAGTTGTGTGATTTGTTTTATTTTGTCTATTTAGTGTTTCTTCAGGTTTAAATGTGTAATAACGGTGGTTTATTAACTGTTTAATATCTGTGAAAGTGCACAAATGTGGGAAAATCAAACAAAGCCGCTGGACGTAACTTCTCGGGATCCTCCAAAAAGTCCACTGAAAAAATCTCAGTAAATGACCACCATTTTACTGATATTATATTTCATCCCATATCCCATGTCTCAAATTAATCATCTTCATTTCATTTCACTCCATATTATCATTTTTCATAAAGTTAAGTATAAATTAAAATAAGACATGACTTAAAGGTCTTAGTTACCAGGTCATAAAATCCCTTAAAAAAAATTTTATATATATATATATAATGTTGACTCGTTTGTTTGTCTGAGCTAATAAAAAATTAAAATCTCTGATACTATTTAAATATCTTTCGAACATATCATCGCTGTTGCTGGATGTAAAACTTTAAATTTCTTATCAGCCGTTTGTTAAGTTGAAAGTTACAATTCACGTCGAGCTTTTGATACGACGTCGACTTTGAAAAATTTTAAACTTTTGAAGTAATTTGACGTGATTTAAATTGTTTCGCGATTCCCTTAACTGCGAGAGAGTTTAAGCAATTAGGAGCTTTAATAAATGTTGAATTGTTTTGTAACTCGTACGTAATCAGTTCAAAACTGAACTTTTAGTCAAGCCTGTCTAATTTGAAACGGATACGAGAGCCCATAGGCATCAGCAAATAGATGCCGCTACCATGAGATACAGCGAACAAATGAATTCAATTTTCAGTACAAATCGTCAATTTCATACTTAATATTATAAACGAAATTGATGCTTACGTTGTCCGCCATGTTTATATTCCCATTTTTTTCTTTATATATTTGTATTTCCCGGGAGCAGCGTTCCGCCTACACGTGGGTGGCCTGGGCGGGACCGCCATTACCTGTGAAAAATTACGCAAATTAGCTTAAGTGATATTGAAGAAGAAAAACGTTATATTTCATTAAACAGATTTATGGGGGGGTATTAAATTATTTTGCGATCTAAAAAATTACGTTCCATTATTATGTGTGTTGTTTGAAAATCGTTACGAGTTTAATGTTAAAGTTTTACGTAAACTTGCTTTTAGTCGTGCGTGATTATGAACTTTTAATTACGGTACGCATTTATTTATTTATTTATTGCTTAGATGGGTGGACGAGCTCACAGCCCACCTGGTGTTAAGCGGTTACTGGAGCCCATAGACATCTACAACGTAAATGCGTCGCCCACCTTGAGATGTAAGTTCTAAGGTCTGAAGTATAGGTACAACCACGGAAAAGATAATTTATCTATTCCGTGGGTACAACGGCTGTCCCACCCTTCAAACCGAAACGCATTACTGTTTCACGGTAGAAATAGGCAGGGTGGTGGTACCTACCCGTGCGGACTCACAAAAGGTCCTACCACCAGTAAAACGCGTGATTCGTGGACACAATTAAAAGTACTTTCACGGTTTAATCACGTGTTTCTTATTTCTTATTATGTATTTATTATTACTAGAGGTCCCGCAGTAGTCGAAATTCGACTATAATTAATTGGAATTGTAAGTTTTGTACACTATTTTGATTGTATTTTATACTTGTATAATCACAAATTTCGCCAAGACTACACTATAAAAAATATTAACAAAGACAGACAGTATTTAATCTATTCTCGATTTGACAACAGACGTCAAGAACAAAAGTTTGACAATAAATAGTATGCATGCGTGTGTGCGTCAAATACATGGTATGTAGTGTGTGTAATTTTTCTTTATTGATTTAATGTATCTTTTATGCATTATTTTAAAAAAATGTTAGCATTGTGCACTTCTTCTCTACATTCTCTATAAGTGTGGAAAATTTCATACTCCTCCGTCCGCGCAATTTTCGTAAAAAGGGATACAAAGTTTTTGCTTCACGTATTAATATATAGATTTGTGAGGTTTAAAAGGCTTACAGGCAAATACATACTTTAGAGTTTTCGTGACAGCGAACTAGCTGAGGTATCGTTAATGCTACAAAAAAAACCACGGTCTGGAGAAGAAAGAAAGAGATAGAGAGAGAAAAAGTCCATGATCCAGCGGACTAAACTTTTAATTATGTACTAGTGGTCCCTTAGTAGTCGAAATTCGACTATAATTATTTGAAATTATAAGCTTAAACATTACTATGGTTCTATTGTCAAACATTATTATACTTCTATAATCACAGATTTCGCCAAAACTACACTATAGATAAATAATATTAAAGACAAACAATATTAATGTGTTCTTAATTTGACAACAGACTTTATACAATAATTAAAGTTTGACGGTTGACAATAAACAAAGAGTATAATATTATAATAATATGTATGCGTTGTGTAAAATACATGGTAGTGTGTGTAATGTTTTTTTTTAAATATTTTTTATGCATAGTTTAAAAAGAACATTAGCATTCCGCACCCTTTCTCTATATCCTCTATAAGTGAGGGGAAATTTCATACTCCTCCGTCCGCGAAATTTTCGTAAAAAGGGGTACAAAGTTTTTGCTTCACGTATTACTTACTATAAATGTAGATTCCCACGTATTATTTCATTGTTAATTTCGTCTTCCTTCGACAAGTATGCTATGATTAAACCTCAATTTGTAATAAACGATTTGTATTTGCTTTGTACAGCTTCGAGCCAGCTGTATAGTTTATAATTATTTATATGTTTATATAGTTTTTATAACGAAGACGTCCTGGCCTAACGGATAAGACGTCCGGTGCATTCGTGTTGAGCGATGCACCGGTGTTCAAATCTCAGGCGGATACCAATTTTTCTAATGAAATACGTACTCAACAAATGTTCACGATTGACTTCAACGGTGAAGGAATAACATCGTGTAATAAAAATTAAATCCGCAAAATTCCTCTTCAATTATTTCGTCTTCCTTCGACAAGTACGCTATGACTAAAATTCAATTTGTAATTTGTTATAATTTTAAGCACTACTCGGTACATTTTTCAATCTATTCATTTATAAAACGACAGAAGGACTAATGAATGAGTTCCTTTTCGCAGACTCATGTTTTTCTTTTAGGCTATGATAGCCTAAACGACGCCGCTCGTCTTTGAAGTCTAAATTAAAATTGCATAACGGCTGTCCCAACGAAATAGACGCCATACCACCAGTAAATGACTTATATGCAAATGGCAGATTTCCTCTTCTTTTCAGTCGTAGGAGTTATCGGAGTGGTCGTGGTTACATACATATGTCTTAATTCTTGGTTTGCGGCTTTTGAGAGACTTCTCCGTCTCTCTCTATCTGTGGCGGTACGTGTACATTCAGGAAGGGAACGCTTCATAGATAACTTAACCAAGTCTGTCCAACTTGTGGATGATCGGCCGCGACAGCGTCGACCGTCTACTATTGTACCATTTGTGCCAGCTAGAGTTGAAACTCTCACATTGGATAATGCGCCTAAAACTAGTATGTAATTTAGGTATATTCGATAATTAATAATTAATAATATGATATATACTAATTATCGAATGATATGATATATAATTAAGCGAATATACCCAATATGATGTGATATATAATTAATTTGATTTATACACTTCACACTGTCCACCTTGTGGATGACCAGCCGCGAGAGCGTTGACCGTCTACTCTTCCTTGAACCACCAAACTAAATGGGAGATATGTGATCGAAAACTCAATTTCTTGAAGAAAAGATCTATGGGACTTGCAAAAACGAAAAAAGGTTTCGTGGTAAATATATCCAGGATAACCACTTGTGGTAGTTTTTACGATAGCCGACTCCGGGTGGGACAGTGAGCTCGCGGGTCCGTACAGGTCGACACAATACATTGTAAAAACCAATTACAATAGACAAAGTTCGTACAAAATCACTTAAAGTTGAATCGGCAAACAAGCTACGAATACAAAACTTTGCTTGAACCAATAAATTATTCAAAGGGACCCGCCTGTTTGGATGCAATTAGATTCCGAGCGGGGCTGCGGCCCGGTGTTGCCAGCGATTTATCGAAATGCTTTAAAATGCGCCTTAGATAGTAATATCGGTGCTTTTTAATATTACACAATTAGATGTTGGTATTGCCAAACTTCTAATTATTTAGTAGATGTCTTCATAGATAATACACATAAATTAGTTTTAGTTAAGCAACTCAAGCACTCAACAAAAATGTTTACGGGCGTAGGCCACTAGATGGCTTCGCTGCGATTAGTTTGTAATTCTTCATGTAGATGGCAGTAACATATTACCTATCCTATATTTTATTTTTAATGAAGGATTTTGTAAATTTTCAGCAATAACAAATTGATAAAATTACTTGTAGGTTAGTTACGTTTAGAAAAATGTTCAAGGGCATCCTCCACTTTATTAATAGGTAGGTTAATGTAATTGTTTAATGTATTATATTGTGAATAAAATTTTTTCCATACATTATTCGTTAGATTAGTTTTTGTTATTGTGTTGTTTTGTCATAATTGTAAGGAACATTGTTATACAAATTCAGCACTATATGTCTTGTTTTGTCGTGCGCACATAACTTATGTTGCAAGCCAGATTTTGTTTCTTTTTATTTGTGTTTTTTATGTATCTTTAGCTTGTGATGTGTATTGTGATCCTAATAAAATAAATAAATAAATCAATTTGTCTAAAACAAGTAAAAACATGTATGATTTTTTAATTTTTTAAATTTCTGTGTTAGGTTATATAATAATTAAATGGCTTATCTTTAATAACAAATAAGTTTAAGAGCATCCGCTACAAGACGTCGCTAGTTTTCATACAGAAAAAATATTTGTCTTAAAGTATCGCAGTTTTAGGGTCCTGGATGTGTATTATTGTATGTAGTTGTTTGGATTACCTGTCGGTGCGGAATTCCTGACGGCGGAATATGGCGGCGGTGCGGGCGTGGCCGCGGGCTTCGCCGTGTGCACCTGGTTCCCGTAACCTTAACAACGAAACGAAAATTGAATTCTTCACTATTCATCGACGTATATTTTTACTATTTTTGTATAAACTCATCCAATTTTTCAATAAGCACACCAATGTGATCTTTTTCTCTTACATAATTTTTTTGAGTAATCAACTTCAATAAGCGAAACTATTCAGATTTTAATATAATTTGAATAAAAACCAATTCGGATACTAATTCTTATAAGATTTCTGTATATTAGCATACATTTTGTGTACCATAGATTATACAAAAATATCGTCAATGTAGACCGGGTGTTAATGAATTTGCGTGTACCATAGATTATACAACAATATCGTCAATGTAGACCTTGTCTTATTTAATGTGTGTGTACCATAGATAATACAATAATATCGTCAATGTAGACCATGTCTTATTTAATTTGGGTGTACCACAGATAATACAACGATGTCATCAATGTAGACCGTGTCTTATTTTTTTTGGGATTTTATGACCTGGTAACTGAGACCTTTAAGTCATGTCTTATTTTAATTTATATCAATATTTTTATGAAAAATGATAGTATGGAGTGAAATGAAATGAAGATGATTAATTTGAGACATTAATCAACTGGGATGAAATGAAATGAGATGATATGGGATGAAATATAATCTCAGTAAAATGGTCATTTACTAAGATTTTTTCAGTGGACTTTCTGAAGGATATCGAGAAGTTACGTCCAGCGGCTTTGTTTCATTTTCCCACATTTGTGCACTTTCACAGATATTAAACAGTTAATAAACCACAATTATTACACATTTAAACCCGAAGAAACACTAATTAGACAAAATAAAACAAAATCACACAACTGCATTCCTCGCGTTCCCGCCAAAAAGTCCCCGTGTCTTAGTGAATTTGTGTTTACCATAGATTATACAACAATATCGTCAATGTATGCCGTATCCTATTTGACATTAAAATACCTAGAATCCAACAAAATAACAATTTCATAATTCCTCGATTTGAGACAAAATGGTACTGAATTTCAAATCGAGCATCCAAAATGTACAGAGCCCTCCATATTGAATTGACGTCCGAAATTAATTAAGGCTTAGGGAACAAACAAAATACACACCTATTGAACTATTCCTTAAGTATGGATTTCCGTAGGTAGCCGAGTACCGCGGGTCGACTGCAGTCTGCGGTCTAGGGTTCGGTTGCGCATAGATTGGCGTTTGTGGACCTGCTTTAAAAGTAAATAGGTTGACTTGAGTCAATCATCAGTCTTTATCATTATATTGATACTAGCTGACCCGGCAGACTTCGTAGTGCCTCAATCTATAAATAAAAAACCTAAACTTTTGTATAAAATATACTTACAACAAACAAAAGGAATCCGTCCGACGGGGAACACATCAAAGGAAAAGCAAAATTGTTATTTTTATTTAATTCCGAGTATTTTCATATTTATCTACCTTTTAAACCTTCTCTGGACTTCCACAAATAATTAAAGACCAACATTAGCCATATCGGTCAAGCCGTTCTCAAGTTTTAGCGAGACTAACGAACAGCAATTCATTTTTATTTAAATAGATAGATAATTATACCTAATGACCCAAGTGATAACACGGTCTCCATCAAACCTAAGATAGCTGATTCGAGATCGAACACCGTACCACTCATCATCATCATCTTTGGTCTTACAGCCCAGGGTGGGCCTTAGCTTGGTCCAGTACATCTCTGTACTGCTGCTCTGTTCAGAGCTTTCTCCTTCCAGTTCCTTACACCGATAACTTTGAGGTCCTGCTCCATGCCATATAACCACCGAAGTTTGGGCCTGCCGCGCCACTAGCTTACACTATTACTATCAAAAGCTTCATACATGTAAATATGTGATATTGGCCTATAAAATAAAACTATTTCACTGTAGCAGTTTTATTGTTCTCTACCCAAATCTTCTTTGTTATTATAAAATTAATTGATGTCTTTTACGCCTTGCACGTTCAATCATCCTCGCCACTTTTCTATTTCACTCTTTCTTACCGTTTTCTCTCACTCACATCTTAACGTTTCGTTCCACACTCTTTTCATACGTAGCGTTCTTACCAAGCCCACGTACATGTAGCTTCGTAAGCAACATTAGTTTTTAATTATATTTAATGTATTTTAAACGATGTACAAAGCTAAGCTACTATATACCTAGTTAGTCTAAGTTCAACGATAATGTACTCACCCTCTCCACCAGAAGGTAGACCCAAATTGTTGATGGCGTCGCTTTCTTCGGGCTTGTTCGTTCGTTGCAAGGTATTATTTTGCGATCCATTGCTGTTTGACAATGGAAGAGTCGACGCCGTATCTATACTGCGCGTCAAAGATCCCTGTTGTGACCTATACAGGATTTTTATTGATTTTAAAAGAATTATACGTTAAGTTCGCAGTTTTGATCGTTGTTAAAGTCAAAGCATCGAGAACAATAGGGCACTCGACTTTATTGATACTTAAAATTCAGTATCAATGTGCATTTTGAAATGTACCAAACTTTAAAGTTAAAGTGATAAGGTAGTTATTTGATTGGAACGAATTGAAGACTTCATAGACGGATTTACAAAATGCCATCTCCATCAGTTTCGACATAATCGAAAATTGCGAACGGTAGGAGATACTAGAAGCCTAAACCTTTAAGTTGCGTGAGGAGTATTATGCCCTTGGGGTCTACCGGGAGTAAGGTGTTACCTGGCGTGCGGCGGGGGGGAATGCACGTGCAGGTGCGCCGGGGGCGAGTAGCCGTGTGGGTAGTCGTACACGAACCCGGCTGGAGTCTGCGGACAACAACACACTGCTCAACACGAGTCCGCGATTTGCTAACTTTTGACATGCGATTTCTTGTTAAACATTTGTTACGCGCTGGAGTTTGGGATAAATAAAACTTCCACCGATATACAAATAAAACTCTATTTAACACTTAGAGCCTTTAGGGAACACTTTACAATTAGCAATTCACTTCTTCTGCTTCGCTTCAGGTGATCGATTCGCTGCTTCGCTTTGAGTAAAACAGCTTACTAACTACCTTCATGTCATCTCTGCAACGCTTTTATAGTCTATACGACATCCCTAGAATTATCAAGAGCTTTCTCGATAAGGCCAGTCGTTTCGATATGTGTTTCCGTTATTTGTTAATAGATGGCGTTGCACTTCTCGAGCGTTCTCGATTTTACTAGTTCTTTTGATTTCCTTTCTGCTATCCGACGATAGATGGCGTCACTCTTACCCGCGTAACAATATAAATGTTTGCAAATTAACATTCAACAAATTAAATATAAAATCTCCCACAGCATGAGTGTAGTGAGGTTTTATTGGAGTTATTTATTTATTTATTTCAGTGTCACAATCTTGAACAGCTGATGGTGACAGGAAAGATAGATGGCAAACGTCCCAGAGGACGCAGTCCCACGAGATGGTCGGACCAAATACGGTCTTCTCTAAGCATCAATTTCCACAATACCCTTCATGAAGCAAAGGATCGCAGCAGATGGAGGGAAATCGTACGGGAAGAACTGATGCAGCGGGGGAGGCTCGACCCTCAGTAATGAGGAAAACGACGCGAGGAGGAATTATTTATTTATTTATGTACACACAAAAAAGAAGACATAGTACAGAGTAATAGGAAATTTATGTACAAAGGCACTGCTTATTTCTTTAAGAAATCTCTTCCAGCAGACCTGCGAGAGGATTAAGAGAATAATAATTAAAAGTGAGTTAATTCCATGACTACCTACAATAATTAATCTATGTTCTTGTTTCTGATACAACAATATGAATTACTAAATGAAAGAAAAAAAACCCGACTGCATTCGAAATACAAAATGAAAAAGCGAAATGTAATGAAATATATTTTAATAAAAACGTTAGTAAGGGTATCCCCCGAAGGGTACACGTGAATATGTTTTATTTTTTGTTTGTCCCCTTATGTGGCACTGACAGTCAAGTTGTATCTTTTGCTTTTCAGTTATTATTGTTTAACGAAGTCTTATTTTGTTACTTTTAATGAATTATTTTAGCGCTTCGAACATGTTCGATTATTTTTTGTTCGACATTTTTTTGTTTCCAATTTTAACTAGATACATACCTTATAACCATAGTCGTGGTAAGCGGGGTCAGTATAGTCATTGTTGTAATTGAAGTCGTCTAGTCTGATGTTAGGTAGAGGTACCGGACCAGCCAGGGGAAGCCCTACCGGCGCCTTGGTGTCCGAGCGATCAGAGCTCGTGTAATCCTGGTCAAAGCAAAGGGTTCGTTAATTCGACAGGGCGATAATGTGGTGGGACGTCTGGTAAAACCGCACCAGTTACTGTCGCCACTGCACCATTTCTACCGTGAAGCAGTAATTGGTTCCAGTTTGAATTGCGGTTGTTGTATTATCGCGGCAGCAGCGGTGCCTACCGATATAAGCTCACAAGACGTCCTACCGCCAGTAATTAAATACTCCTTTTCCTTTCCTCTTAAGCCCCTGTGCAGCCAAGGCTGAGTGTAGATGCACTCCTAAAATGCACTCCATTCTTTTCGGTCTCTTGCCTTTCGAGTCTAGTCCCAACCAGCCACTTTGACCGGGTCATCGATCCACCTCACTGGTTGACTGCTCACGTTACGACGTCCAGTGCGAGCTCTATCCTCCAGTACTTTTTACACGTTTTTATTACACGATGCAGTTCCCATAACAAGGAAGTCGTTCTTGAGAATTTGTCAAGTGCGTATTTCATTAGAAACATTGGAAGCTAATGATACAAAGGCACCGGAAGGAGTGCACAACGCAAACGCCTTTTGTACTCATTAACAAATCGAGGGGTGAACAACTATTTATTTGGCTTAAGCAACATTTTTGCAACTTTACAAAAGAGCCATTTAAAGTTTAAAGTTTTGGAAAAAAAATATCATAACAAAAACAAACTTCTTCAACTATTCGAATGAGGTACACTTAATTGAAGTTCAATTAAAAACATCGAACTGTTGACGCTAATACAAAACAAAACAGGCCTTTGATTACAAAGATAAATGACGCGTATTAACCGAAATGTCTCTTAAATAACCTTTCGCCCCTCGAAATGGTACCCATAGCTAACACGAAACCCTCACGTCGCTGAAACAAATCTACACAAACGGTCAGCATCACGACAGAGTTCCCTCACCAGGTCGTAGCTGGCGTCGCTCTGCGGCAACTGAAGCTTCAGGTCGCTGATGTTAGAGCTCCTGTCGCTCTCTTTGTACGCGTCTCCGGTCGCGACGGTCACGTCCGGCTTCTCGTTCATTTGACTCTTCTTCCTTCTTCTCCTGTGGCAGACCACGAGGAGAATTATGAAGGAGGAGAAGACGACGATGCCGGTCGTAACCCCGATGAGGATTATGTACAGTGGAAGGGTCTCTGTGGACGATATGGTTTTGTTAATGCCGTTGCTTTTTAAGCCCAGTTGGATTTTGGACCTATATGTTGGTTTGGTATAGTTGTTGCAAAGTACGACTGCACGCTGCCCTTACTTTTGTGAGTGACCAATCTGTATACGCGTCGTTGTAGGCTATATGTAGCTAATTGGCCTCTCCGTAGGGTACACACACTGACGAAAATGTGTATTTACGATTACAACTACAAATAAAGGCCACGCGCGCTCGTGCTTTGCAACAACTATAGGACTTAGCCTGGCTCCTGGTACCCTCAGAATCGACAAGGTAATTGTAAAGTAAGGTAATGTGGAGTACTGTTTGTAGGGGGCGATTCCCATCGATACGATGAAAAATGATAGGTTTCTAATTTATAAAGTGGCTAACGCCCTGCCTATTTCTGCCGTGAAGCAGTAATGCATTTCGGTTTGAAAGGCGGGCAGCTGTTGTAACTATACTGAGACCTTAGAACCTATATCTCAAAGGGGGGCCGTAAGATCGTCCACCCAACTAACCAAAAATAAAAACTACCAATTTGTTTCCGTTCACCTTTGCTAACTATAGTTATCGTTTTTATTTTTAATACAGTAAAGTTTATGTTTTTGTTTCATTCAAAAATTGATATATTCAAAAAATCACTGTTGTACTTAATGCATAATACATTAACAATAATAGTACTCACTTAAAGGCTTCAACATTATCGGCGCGTTTGCGTTACCGTATTCGTTCGTAACGCTGCAGTTGTAAAGTCCAAAATGCTTTGACTGGCTAGCCTTGATCACCAAACTAGATTTAACTAGTCCATCGGGCAATGATTCTTGCAGTATCGCGTAATTCTGTTTACAAATATACTTTTACTATATACTGTGTACTTATACTTATATCGTTTTTACCGTCGCACAGCCCGCCACTGGAGTAGAGTTCATCCATACTACCTGGAGCCACTGCGGTCATCCACAGTGCGTTTCCAGAGATCTTTTTTGCCACGTACCATCCGGCTATGGAATGAGCTCCCCTCCGCGGTGTTTCCCAAGCGCTATGACATGTTCTTCTTCAAACGAGGCTTATGGAGAGTATTAAGCGGTAGGCAGCGGCTTGGCTCTGCCCCTGGCATTGCTGAAGTCCATGGGCGACGGTAACCACTCACCATCAGGTGGGCCGTATGCCCGTCTGCCTACAAAGGCAATAAAATAAAAATGCTCATAATATAGCAATAGGAATACCTCCATTCAATTAATTGATACACCGAGTGGAAGTTGACATAAGAATTGGAAGAAACGATTGATTTTAAAAAAATCACTTCGCGTCTAAAATCAATTAGGTTCGAAGGATCAAACTTTGCAATACACTTTTTAATTGTTTACATTGAAATAAAATATTTTATAACCTCGTAGCGTTATTTAGCCGCAAGCAGGCCTATAAAAAATTTTCGTGATAACTATAACCTCACGAAATATTTAATTTATTTAATTTTATTAACATCGTCAAATTGCACAAATCAAGTATTCTATACTACTCATGTTGCTAGTAGATGAATTAGTTTGGACTCGAAACTTACCGGATCCTGTATCACACTGATCTCCCGACCTTCGAAGAACCATTTGATGAAGTCTGGCTTGGGAACAGACTCTGTCAGGCATTCAACTGTAACCGTCTCCCCTTCCGCGCCTATCTGAGTCCTATTCGAAATTATCTTTGGAGCTCCTAGAACAATGAAATGTTATGAAAAAAAATAATCTAACACTCGTATTATTGTGGATGGGTAAATGAAGATGATTAATTTGAGACATTAATCAACTGGGATGAAATGAAATGGAATGAGATGAGATGATATGGGATGAAATATAATCTCAGTAAAATACTGGTCATTTACTGAGATTTTTTCAGTGGCCTTTTTATAGGATCCCGAGAAACTACGTCCCACGGCTTTGTTTCATTTTCTCACATTTGTGCACTTTCACAGATATTAAACAGTTAATAAATAACCGTTATTACACATTTAAACCTGAAGAAACACTAAATAAACCAAAGAAAACAAATCACACAACTTCACTCCTCGGGGAACTCCCCGAACTCTAAGGGGAACGCCCCTACAACTGTTTTGAATCACATCTAAGACGATTTTAGGTGATTTTTCTGAATTTAAAAACTAACGGTTTTGTTTTTTGTTACCTTTAATAAAAACAGTAGCTTCACTCTCGATTTCTGGGTATCCGGTGACACTCGCTTTGCAGATATACTTTCCTGCCGTCTCTTTGTTCACAACTATCTCCAAGTTCGGGGATTTTCCTTTAACCTGCTGGAAAATATGGATCGCTCACATAACGCTGTCTTTGTAACTGATATCTTTGGATGTAGGTCCGCTAAACATAGAGCTTTTTCTGTTTCGACAAGCTTTCCGAATTGTCGTTATCTAAAGCAATTTAGTTTTAACTGTCGAGGCATACTTAAGGCATACTTTTCTATATCATGATAAATGATTACTGTCGATCGTTGATTAATAAAGCCCGTTTAGCGCATGTTATTTAAAATTACTTTCTGTATTTTCTATGTAATCTATATTTTTTGAAGTGAAACTTCTAATGTATATGTATGTTTGTAACGGAATCTATGAACGTGATTTTGACCCCTTCCAAAACATCGGATTAACTCGAAATTTGGTATACTTATTAAGAACCGATGACAATTCAATATTAAAAAAATATATTGAAAAAATTGAAATTCAACTATAAAATGAAAAATGAATAATAGTTTTAAAAAAAACTAACAATATACGCTTTTATAGAAAATCCAACTAAAATTAGGAAAATAAATCATCATATCAATAGTTATAAATATTTTATGAACAGATATGAGAATAGAAGGGTTATTTTGATAATATCCTGAAAAGCACCGCACGCTTTTATACAAATAAAATCTTTTTTTTACACTATTTTTTATTCAAATTTATTAAAATTTATTTTCTATTTTTTAGTTTAATTTTCTATAAAAGCGTATTTTGTTAGTTTTTTTAAACTATTATTTATTTATGTATTAATTCGCTAGCATGGTATTCACTTACCCCGATCCTGCCAGGCTCATTCAGAAGCCACCTGATCGCCGGCTTCGGCTGCCCATCAACGTCACAGCTAAGGGTCACAACCGAGCCGATATCCGCCTCGACGTCATGCAGATGATTGCGGAAAATTGGAGGATCTAAAGGATGTAATGAATCCTTTTATTTTATTTTTTGAAGTTATACTTCTTTAGTCGCGCTATGAAAAATTGATGAGAATGAAATTTTACGATGCGCGCGCACCGTGACACAAAATTAACAGAATGAAGTTGCCCACTAAATCGCTCATTTCTCAGTAATGAGTTTCGGTTTAAAGGGTGGGGTCGCCGTTGTAACTATACTGAGACCTTAAGCTTATATCTCAAGGTGGGTGGCGCATTTACGTTGTAAATGTCTATGGGCTCCAGTAACCACTTAACACCAGGTTGGCTGTGAGCTCGTCCACCCATCTAAGAATAAAAAAAAGCTTCAGCAAAGCACTGCTCTTCCTAGGGCTGGTGTTAGGAATTCTCTCAGGTTGAGCCCGAGAGGTCACCTACCAGTCAGCATGAAACTGGAATAACCATATAGGCTACCAACGATTAGACAGGACAAAAAAATCAATAACTTTGAGGTGTTCCTAATTATACAGTTTTGCGTATAAATATTATTCTCGGTCGGTCACTACACAACTGCTTAGTATGGTTACATTGCATAGGAATCAGATAGATTGACTTGGTGATATAGCTAGTGCCCCTAACTATTGCGGCGAGGGTCATCGATTCCCACACATTCGTATGATGAACAGATTTGTTTGCTCTTTGTCTGGGTGTTTATTATCTATGTATGCGTCGCAATCAACACGTGTTTGTCGAACCAACACATGATAAGGCACGCAAGCGCCATCTGTCGGCGTTCGATGGAGTCAACTATTATGATATACTATGACTATTATGATAGATATGGGTTCTAAGGTCTCAGGTATAATTACAACGGCTGCCCCGCCCTTCAAACCGAAACGCATTACTGCTTCAAGGCAGAAATAGGCAGGGTGGTGGTGCCTACCCGTGCGGACTCACAAGAGGTCCTACCACCAGTAATTACGCAAATTATAATTTTGCGATTTTGATTTTTATTACACGATGTTATTCCTTCACCGTGGAAGTCAATCGTGAACATTTTGTTAAGTACGTATTTCATTGGAAAAATTGCTATATATAAATTAATCTTATGCAATCAATCAAACTAGAGGTCCCGCAGTAGTCGAAATTCGACTATAATTAATTGGAATTGTAAGTTTGTACACTGTTATGATTGTATATACTTCTATAATCACAAATTTCGCCAAGACTACACTTACACTATAAAAAATATTAACAAAGACAAACCATATTCTATTCTCAATTTGACAACAGACGTCAAGAACAAAAGTTTGACAATAAATAGTATGCATGCGTGTGTGCGTCAAATACATGGTATGTAGTGTATGTAATGTTTTCTTTATTGATTTAATGTATCTTCTATGCATTATTTTAAAAAAATATTAGCATTGTGTGCTTCTTCTCTATATTCTCTATAAGTGTGGAAAATTTCAACATCCTCCGTCCGCGCAATTTTCTTAAAAAGGGATACAAAGTTTTTGCTTCACGTATTAATATATAGATGTAATCAAAACTTAGTTATATAATTTTTTATTTTTGTTGTTAATGCACTGTCGATTGCATTTATAATTGAGGTGGCATCTGCCATGAACTTTTGTCAGTTTGTCAATGATTTTATTGACGATAACTTTTTTTGTGCAACTATAATAAATAAATAAATTTCAATAACTACATTAATGTAGTTGTTTAGTTTTGGTAGCATAACTAACGCATTACGTGTCATTATTGTACGTGTATCATTAAAAATCATTATCATTAAAAACTGTCCCAATTACACAAGCGTTAACCAAACCATTGTTTATCTTCAAAAAACACTTACGTTTCCATTGATCTCTATACGTTAATATTATTTTTTTATCTCACAACCCTATGACTCACGATTTCATGGAAACAATTTTAAATGAACTGTATCGATAAACTTAGGTGAGATACGACCGATACTAACATCATTTCTTTGTTCAAGAATATCTGGGTATTTTTGTTTGAAGAACGCTTCGAGTTGAATGGTTTGATTTATTGAAAGATTGATTCACGAAGATCGATTTTGTACTAGTTTAAAAAAAAACATATTGTAGTGTTCACCCATTTAATAATTGTTGGAAAATAATTTGCCTTTTCATGAGTTCTGTCTCATGCGAGGTTTGGACGTTGGTTGTTGAGCGACAGGAGGTTTTAGTCAGTTCGACTCTGACATGCCCCGCCCTCCATCCCCAGTGGAGGGTGGAAGTCAGGCAATTTCCTTCTGACCATAAAAAAAAAATTTGACAATTCAAACTCGCTTGAAATTAAGCTAGTTTCTATAGTTTTCTTATTGCCTTTATAGCCGAAGGAGCGGCATACTGATAGTGAGTGATGGTTACTCATGAACTTCAACATTGCCAAATAATCCAAATCTAAGCGGTAATATTGAAGTTCCTAACAAATTTTTTGACAATTAATATTAAACATAGCGGCCCGCTCCGGCTCCGCTCGGGTCTTTAACAAAAAAAATCAATGATATGTGACGTTGTTTTATTTAAAAAAATAAAAGAACACTTATTGCGGCATAACTATAATAGTTAGATATATGCTGTCGGAACTCTTTTTGTAAGTAATAATGTGTTCTACAAAGTCGTAGTACATTGTTTTATTCTATCGTCAATAGTTTTCGCGGGGCACGAGATGTAAAGAATATTTTAGGTAATTTTTTTACACCTTGGGTTACATTATTGGCGTCTTAGTAAGGATCCCTAATATTTTTCAAAAAAGATTATAGCCAATGTTACTCAAAAATTGTGTAGCTTCCAAACAGTGAAAGAATTTTTCAAATCGGTTCAGTAGTTCGTAGCCTATTCAATACAAACAAACAAACAAATCTTTCCTCTTTATAATATTAGTATAGATGAAACTTTTTAGAAAAATATTTAATTATTTTCTCCATAAAATCAAATCCCTGTGAGGGAGTCCATATCGAGTCCCTTCTTTATTTCACGGGAAAATCGTGTTTTTGGATCACTCGTAATCAACACCACAGTTGAAACAATAGGAGTTTTGTTGTTGCAGCGGCTTACATAGTTCTAAGTTATACACATTATTCTTTTTTTCGTCTTATGTGTTTTCGGCGGGAAAAAGGTCCTGTGTCACAGACTATCTCCTTTTTTTTTCACCTCTCGTGCGTTTTGACTTACGCATCATAAAAAGGTGCACTCTTAAACGCCACAACGGCGAATGTTGTTGGAAAATTAGCGGAATCATCATGAACTTATTAAGATGAAGTTATTTGTTAAGGAAATTTATTAATATATTCCTTTTAATATTGTATAAACTATTATATGTATGTATGTATGTATATGTGATTGTGTATATACTTTTTTTATGTGTATGTATTTTTAAATTAATATAAATTTCATTGCACCTACTACTATTCACTCTGCACTACCTTTGGTTGACTGCTAGAGAATACCTTAGGCATCAAGTCCGCCAATGTAAATTTTACATGAAGTGTAATAAATAAATAAATAAAGTAGATTCACGCGAAACATATAATGCGATGTTCACACTTTATTACGTAACGGCTCCCTTCCCTTCGACTAATTGCTACATAACAATCTCTAAAGACTTTTCACACGACAACACCCTACAATCACAAGGTAACCCCAGAAGCGTAACCGAAAATTATTTTCATGGTACCATAGGTCTCTCTAGAGTGGACAATCATAAGGTATAGGGTTTGGCCAGACGCGTTACTGAATATTACTTTAATTGTACCATAGGTCTCTGTTGAGTGGTCAACATCACTCAACAAGAGTGATTTATCGTTTGGCGCCACACAACACGCGTTCCAGAAAAAAAAAACTTATCGAACATTGGAAAATATTTTAAAAAGTGATTTATAGTTTTTGTTTTCAAACACGCAAAATACGAGAGTATTTTCGCGGGACTCATTCATTGATTTATAACTGTTCCGTTTTAGAACAAAGAAGTACTTTTTTGAGAGTACTTCAATCAAATACCAAGAAAAATATCAATATTTATGAAGCATTTTCAGTATGTTTAACCTAAAAGAATTGAATATTTTCACTAGAATATGAAAATAAAACATTATTAGTTTTACTAGCAAAATCTTGCAGCGGGACTCATGGAAGCTGTTGAAAAATGAATAGTACTTGTGAGTCCGCACGGCACGTCATTACGGATCCTCCTGATCCATTAACGGTGCTTTTAGGCACCACAAGCACCGGTCACCGTCCTCGTCGAACCCGTCGCTTGCGACAAAGGGCTCGACGAGCGAATTAACCCATAGACACAGCCCACTGAGTTTCTCGCCGGATCTTCTCAGTGGGTCGCGTTTCCAATCCGGTGGTAGATTCTGCGAAGCACTGCTCTTGCTAGGGTCAGTGCTAGCAACTCTCCGGTTGAGCCCCGCGAGCTCACCTACAAACGTTAGGGTGAAGCTGAAATAGCCTCTCAAGGTAAGCTTATTTACGTTGTAGATGTCTGTGGGCTTCAGTTACCACTTAACATCAGGTGGGCCGTGAGCACGTCAACCCACTTAAGTATTTAAAAAAAACGATAAATCTGGCACGAGCCTCGCCTTAATAGTTACCTACTGCGCCGACTATAAACAATAGGAATTTTAGAATATAATTTTTAAAACCAGTGTAATCACAAGCGTCCTTAAACATAACAATAGTCTTCTCAAAGAACGTGGATCTCCATGATGACCTGGAGCTTGACTCAGTCAGTAAGTATCTACAGTCAGCATCATTGCGCTACTTTGAAAAGGCGGTACGACATGAAAACCCTCTTGTCGTGGCCGCCGGGAATTACATACCCGATCCTGTAGACCGTATGGTAAACAGTCGATGTCACCCTAAACACGTCATTACGGATCCTCCCGATCCATTAACGGTGCTTTTAGGTACCACAAGCACCGGTCACCGTCCTCGTAGAACCCGTCGCTTGCGACGAAGGGCTCGACGAGCGAATTAACCCATAGACACAGCCCACTGAGTTTCTCGCCCAATCTTCTCAGTGGGTCGCGTTTCCGATCCGGTGGTAGATTCTGCGAAGCACTGCTCTTGCTAGGGTCAGTGTTAGCAACTCTCCGGTTAGAGCCCCGCGAGCTCACCTACACGTCAACGAGAAGCTGAAATAGCCTCTCAAGGCTATCAGCATAGGTAGGGGAAAAAAGCAGCTTACTTGATGAGGCGCCCCGAGTGCTAGCACGAGTGACGCAACTATGACTGTATCCAAATCCCGCAGGCAAGTACCGATTTTCTAATGAAATACGTACTTAAGTCACGTTCACTAATGACTCTCGTGTGAAGGAATATCAATGCGAGGCTAAATGCCTAATTACTGGTGGTAGGGTATGTGAGCTCATGTCGCTAGGCTTAACGGCCCTTTCTATTTCGATCGGGCAACATGCGTTATGGTGTAAAGGATGGAGCAACCGGTATTCTATAAACCTTAAACTCGCGTCTTAGAACTCATATCTCAAGGTGGGCTGATGATGTCTATGGGCTTCGCTAACCACCTAACACTAGCCGAGTCGTGAGCTCGTTCAACTATTTAAGCATTGCAATTTACGTCTACACTATTCAAATGATTTTTAGATCTCAACGTAGATTCCCATTTAGGTATGGATCATTACAACCTGTACATAATATTTGGTTATCTAAACTTATACACGTTTTTAAACTAATTGCCAAATAGAAAAATCTAAAACGTTAAATCAGCAGTTATATATAAAACTCGTTCCCCATAGTTGACCCAACATTAAAATAGTAGTCGCCGCCTATTAGCCACGAGATAACACCGCAATAAACTCGTCTGGTCATCCATGGAATTCAATACCAAAGACGTCTAAAAATAATATTATGTTTATATTATATCACCTAGTTTCGCTGCTGTCGGAATAGCCACGAAGCATGTTTATGTTAATGGAAAATAAAAGCGCCATGGTGTTTCATGATGCCCACGCCATGACGCAATTTCGGGTTGATGGGAAGATAGAATTCGACCAATTTCCATTACATTATATTTGTCGTATTAGATATTTAGGGAATACTGATATAGGTTAATGCCAAATTCTGGAGGCATTATTCAAAATATGTTTCAAGATTTATCAAGATCAGATTGATGGAATGTTACACTCAAAACATGGACTTCTGTTTCTGCAACTTTAACCCTATCGGTAAAGGAAGGAGAGGATTGAAGAAGAGATGGATTGAGTGTGTGAATGACGATATGAGAGAAAGAGGAGGGAGTGTTGAGATGGCGGCAGATAGACGAGAATGGTGTAGAAAAAATGTACCGACTTCATCTAGTGGGATAAGATGGAGACAAAGAAGAAACAAAACTTTAACCCCATAGCTGTGAGATTATTTTACGTTGATCTGTTGGACCGAACATTATCTTGCGTTGCAAATTCCGGGAACTACTTACATCAGGTCGGCCATTACCACATTTAATTATCAAGTCTTTTGTCGCTCTTGATGTTGAAGGATGAATAGGTATATTAACATCGCAATAATTACGCGGTGCATTTCACTCATTTTTCTTTATTATAAAATTAATAATAAATAAAAAACTGATATTTACTCACATGCAACGTTCAGTGTAACTTTTGCCGAGCTCGTGCCCACAGTATTGCTGATTTCGCATCTCACTTCAGCCTTGTTATGTTTCCTTGTGACGTTGAAAATAATCTAAGGACAAACATTTTAAATTATCTCTAGGTGAACTAAAAAAAGGCAGATGCTACTGATTTATTACATAGCAAATAGAATACCGCGATGGAAAAATTTATAAAGAATCACAATAAAATCATGCCTAATCAAAAATTGCCACAAAAAACAATATGGCCGTTTTTTTTAACACTTCAAAATTTAGTTGAAAAGAATTAATTAATTATCAATAGAAAATGTATCTGTGATTAAAATTAGTCTAATTTCCCAAGCAATGCTAACTAAACAGGCATTTTTAATATAAATACGTGAATATAATTAGTATTAAAGAAGTTATCCAACCGTAATTATTAGTCTTCAAACCCGAGTACATGTTGTAAAGCCAGGCCTGACAAGATATTATTTGTCTCTCTCTAACGCGATCGTAAGAAGAGCACGTATGGTAAGTTTAAGCCAGTTTGCGGGAAAACTTTCCGGATTCGAATGGTCATACAAAATACGTCTGGACTAAAAGGACTCAAATCTCCCAACCGTATTAAATCGAGCCAGAACTTCTCCTGGCCTTTGTTCCACACGTGTGGTCGTCTTAATGTGTATCTTTGTTCTAGTTTAATCTTAAAGGTATTTCTGTTTGTATACGGTGATATTAGTAAAAGTATATGTGGTTTAAAAAATAAAACTCGCGGTGTACTCAAATCAAGCTCTAAGCTTACAACGGACTTCGATCTTACTATCGACAAGAACGTACCAATTTTCGAAGTATAGGTATATATGCGTGTGGCATATATTCCCAAACTACAATGACGGAATAGCATTGGGTAATGATTGATAAATTTGCGCAATCACTGAGGTCATTGATACTGCATGGATGGTTACGACAGTCTGATCTATAACTGATTTATAGCAGTCTTTTGTTTCCATTTGAGGTAAGACAGTCGTTACAATTGAAGCTTCCAACTGACACACTTTAAGATGGGTTTTTACGTTAATATGTCAATGAACTCCGATAAAAATAAAAAATAGTATTATATTTACTATTGCGGTTAGAGTCGTCAAACAAGTTATCTTTACTGAATTAGTAATGAACGCACAACCTAAGCACCTAGAATTGCAAAGTAGGAATTCTGGCAGGAGATATTATTATATTGGATCTAAAGAAGGATTTTTGGAAACATCAGCTCTATGGGAGTAAAATGGAGCATAATGAGGTCCTTCATTATCCAAGTAAGAAACACGACATCTGAAATACCCGATTCCAATTAAAAATAAATATATCTGAATCAGGATTTGGAAGCTTATATAGAAAGTTCCTTTCATTTGAAGCTCAGGAAATAATAGTTAAGCATCAGCTAATAATACAATATACACGTTTACTTCGTTCGCATAACCGTAGTGAGTTAATGAAACAGCCAGAAAACGCTTTGAGAGTAAACCGAGAGACCACGCCGGGAACAATTCATGAGCAAAACACAACTGCGCTCCAGTGGAAAATTTAACCTGTTGCAATAGCAGTGCAGGCCCCGAGCAGCGAGCCGGCTAATTCGACTTTATTATATTCGAGCTTTTTATTTTATTTTCGATGCTTTTGTTTTGTGCGGTTCGCTGGCTTCGCATGTGGGTCATTTTGAGGGTGCCTTTATTGAGTTTCAATGTATAACGTACAGTTGTTTGTTTATATGATTCATTAAATATGTCTGGACTTTTTGGCGGGAACGCGAGGAGTGAAGCTGTGTTTAAATGTGTAATAACGGTGGTTTATTAACTGTTTAATATCAGTGAAAGTGCACAAATGTGGGAAAATGAAACAAAGCCGCTGGGCGTAACTTCTCGGGATTCTCCAAAAAGTCCACTGAATTTTTTTTAGTAAATGACCACCATTTTACTGAGATTATATTTCATCCCATATCATCTCATCTCATTTCATTTAATTTCATCCCAGTTTATTAATGTCTCAAATTAATCATCTTCATTTCATTTCATTTCACTCCATATTATCATAATTTTTCATAAAAATAAGAATATAAATTAAAATTAAAATAAGGTCGTAGTTGCCAGGTCATAAAATCCCTTAAAAAAATTAACTATGTCTAAATCAAGATATAAGATCTCTACGGGACCTTGACTGTTTGTCTAAAGCGTTTTATTTGTGTGTACTGTGTGTAAACGTGCTCACAGGCCAACTGATGCTAAGAGGCTACCTGAGTTCATGGATACTACAATATCAATTCTGCCACCTACTCTAAAACATGTTTTTCAGTCAAGTCAGTCTTTTTTATTACTTAGATGGGTGGACAAGCTCACAGCCCACCTGGTGTTAAGTGGTTACGGAAGCCCATAGACCTCTACAACGTTAATGCCGCCACTCACCTTGAGATATGAGTTCTAAGGTTCCAGTATAGTTACAACGGCTGCCCCACCCTTCAAACCGAAACGCATTACTGCTTCACGGCAGAAAAATAGCAGGGTGGTGAAATCTACCCGTGCGGGCTCTCCCTACCACCAGTAAAATTTGGATTTTATTGTATTAACTTACCCTTAAAATCAGAACGTAACTATTTCGTCGCAAAAATAGGCAAATTGGCGATACCTATTCGTGCAGACTCATATTACACCAAATACTGGGAGTGCTAAATATTAAAAATTATTGTTGAGTTTTCATTTTCCATCGCAAAAATCCTGCTTGTGGGATTCGAATACCGGCACAGCCACATCGCTTATAAATACTAAACCAAGCGTCTTAACCATTAGATCACGACGACTTCGAAGGAAATAGCATTTATAAATTAACTTACCATCTCGTCAGTGTAGTCTCCTATGACCGGGTTGTTGTTGATGTACCATCTGTGGGACCGAGGGGGAGGATTCGATTCGGAACTGCACCGTATCCTTGCTTCATTACCTTCCGGTATCTTACCGTCGATCACTCCAGACCTGAACGATATATTCACTTTCGGGACGTATTTCACCTGTTTCAAAAATAAAAATACTAAATTAGATCCAGTACTCAAGTCTTTGGCGAGTCATTGATATGCAACGAAATTCAAAACTAATGTTTTTTATTTATTTATTGCTTAGTTGAATGGACGAGCTCACAGCCCACTTGATGTTAAAAGGCTACCGGAGCCCAAAGATATCTACAACGTAAATGCCACCACCCACCTTGAGATGTGAGTTGTAAGGTATCAGTTTTAACTGTACAACAGTTTTAGCAGTACATGTTTGCTGATTCCATATGATATTCTGTTAAATCTGTCCGCGTGAACATCTAACCGACAGCGACTAGCATCACTCTGACAACGACCTTTTCAAGTACAGCGCGGATCCCTCGCTGCGGCCGCGTGAGTTTAACAGAATATCACGCCGCCGACCGTCTTGTGACCTATGTCTGTGTGTTTAGACGTACCTCAAAATGTATCGTAGCCATCCTCGGCGCTCTGTCAGCTGTGTTCTGGGCTTGGCAGGTGAATGTCTGGTTGTGGTACGCCTTGCTCGGGTTCAACCGCAAAACCGACCTGAATAATAGAACTAGTGAGCTATTGACGCCCGCACCACTGTTTATGTGGTCAGGTAGCTGTGACAGAGTGTGGCTTTTGGGTATTAGCGATGTGATACGTGAGTACATTACTGTGGTGAGCTTGTCTTCGTAAATTGTAATCTTAGTAATTGATAATGAAAATTTAAACGTTGCGGTTACGAGTAGTCTAGAATGTGCTTTGTTTTTTATCAAGCAAATATGAAAGATTAACAAATCCTTAAGTACTATTGGCAGTCTTATCACCAACAGCGAACCATTCAACGACCTTCAAGTCGACAAGAATCTCTAAGGAATGAGACTTAATCGGAACACACTTACTGATTAAAAGAAAAACGATAATATACAGGTAAAGGTGAGGCGATTTGAATGATTACCAGAGCCGTTAACAAGGTTTCAATTGGTTTTTTTTTAATTCTATTTCGTAAACTGGCCATTGAACACACCACCCAATTGTGTCTGGTAGCTGTCGCATAGGTTAGCGACTCTATGGCTATAGCTAATTCGTTGCCTAATATTTTATACTGTCTTTCTGTCAGTCCACCCTTGATATTTAGTCGCATTATCCTTTGCTGCAGTAATCGGAAAGATTAAAGAAACATTCAAACCAGGCTAAACGATAGTACCACCAGTAATTACACTAAGACTTGTGATAGTTATTATTGACTGTTATTAAGAAAACACATTACCTTTCGATCTGCAAAATTTAGTTTACATTTAACAGAGAATATCGTCTTTTCCCTTATTTATCTATTCCGTGGTCTTTTCGCATTAAAAGTGTACAATTTCCAAAAATTTTCAAAATTGAGTTAACATGCGGAATCATTTGGTATCACCAGTATTTTTCTCATAAATGATGTCAAAAGAGCGATGTTTAGTTTTTTTTTTTTAGTTTACCTAATTTTTGTTACTACAGTCAAAATCTATTATAACATCGAAGGGACTGCTCATATTCAGTCGTAAAAACCGATAGTCTTAAGAACCGGTGATGTTTAATGTGTATCGTGCAAATACAAACAAATGGATAGGGAATTATTGGAAAAATATATTTATTCAATTATGTACATTTTGTTTATTACAAATAAGTACAATGCATATTATTTTTCTGTGAGTATAAAATCTGTAAGTAACAAACTAACTGAAGAGACATGAAGAAGCGGGCTTTGACTCTACTGCATGCACGTGTTTTGTTTCTAAGAATTAGAAAAGACCCTACACTAAACTAAATCCTATTGTTTTCTTTCCTGATTTTAATAGCTATTGGAGACAAATGTGGATACCTATTCAAATTGTTTACAATACAGCTTAGCCGGTCGTTCTAACAGATCTAATTCTCCGAAATATTAGTTAAATGTGGTCGTTTTATGAGGTATGTCGTTATTAGCAATGTCGTATAAAGCAATATTTTTAATAAGGCGGTCATATGGCATTCAGCCGGGACCTTTGTTCTTGGTTATTATAACCGGCATGTTGTTCTAAACCATATCGCAGTAAACAGTTTTGACTGTATTAACAAAATTAATAAATAATTTTATTTTACTTTAAAAGACAGATAATGTAACTGGTCGAAAATAAAAAAGTAAATGTTACAAAGATGATTAATATTAAAGATATCACAATATGTTAAACCTTTAAAACAGAAATACAAAATTAGTAAGTTTTGAGATTATACAGTCTTAATGCGAGAAGACGATATTTGATAAAGAACTTTTGGAATTAATATAGCAGCAGTATATTCTATAATAAAATTGGCTAAAAGCGACAATAACCTTGTTTTGTATCTTTGTCCATCTGCCATCAACTCCAATTTACTCTTCACGTTCTTCTTCACCACAGCTTGGCTGCCGTCCAGCCAAGTTATCTAAGAACACCATACTTTATACAATTGTAGCCATTAAACAATTGGATATAAAAAAAATACTAGCTGAACCCGTCCGCTTCGCTGGGCATTTAAAATTAACATTATTATTTCTCACCCCCACAAAAATTTTCATCATTAAGGCCGCAACTGGTGTAGGGAGTCCAACACTCATATAAACATTAGCATATCCATTAAGTACATGTATTTTCTACATGGATACCAAGTTTCAAGTCAATCGGATGCATGGGTCAGTAGTTATAACGGAACATCCGTAAAAACCACTGTAGATTTATATATTAGTATAGATTAGGCACTAGCCCATATTTCGTCCCGTATATCAATGCTATGGTGTTTGAAGTTCATCTAATTTCACGATTATCACTTCTGAATATCCTTACCTCGGCAGCCGGTTTTCCACCCACGGATTCGCATTCGATATCAAGAGATTGACCTTCCGTTGCTTCTACGAAGGCACCTTGAATTATCCTCGGAGGATCAGGAGCTACTAGGACTGTCAGTTTTGCGTACCGCGATCGGATCGCCGGCTCTCCTAAAAAGATTAAGCCAATTTGAGAAAAATATTTATTTTAGGATGAAGACCAGCCGACGACCTGGAACGATCGGGCAATGGCTCGAACAATCGGACAATGTGAAGTTAAGACTTTTATTTATTTATTTAAAAAAGTACTGCCATATTTTTTTTTTATTGCTTAGATGGATGGACGAGCTCACAGACCACCTGGTGTTAAGTGGTTACTGGAGCCCATAGACATCTACAACGTAAATGCGCCACCCACCTCGAGATATAAGTTCTAAGGTCTCAGTAACGGCTACCCCACCCTTCGAACCGAAACGCATTTCTGCTTCACGTTGGAAATAGGCGGGTGGTGGTACCTACCCGTGCGGACTCACAAGAGGTCCTACCACCAGTAATGACCCAATTATAATATTGCGGGTTTGATTTTTATTACACGATGTTATTCCTTCACCGTGGAAGTCAATCGTGAATATTTGTTAAGTACGTATTTCATTAGAAAAATTGGTACCCACCTGCGGGATTCGAACACCGTTGCATCGCAAGATACGAATGCACCGGACGTCTTATCCTTTAGGCCACGACGACGACAAAATTATCATCAGTCATCGCAATGTGAAGCCAAAACAAAACGGAACGAAGCATGTAAAATCTAAATCAGTTTTCAGAGTTTTGCAGGGTTCATTTTGCAATTTAAAAATCACATTTACTGTCACTATTGAGATAGATCGATCAAGATTAGACTCACCATTCAGCCCGCCACTAACTTGGCATTGGTACCTTCCGTCATCTTCTAAAGTAACGTCTCGTATATCGAGGGAGAAATCTCCTGAAACAAAGAACCTTTTAAATGGAAGGTCGTTTTAAAAAAAATAAACCCTATAAAAATAAAAATTTAAGGATATTTTATTCCCACAGAAATATAGATTTGAAGGTGATATATTTATTAATTAATACGCTTTTATTAGCTTCAGACGTATATATGTTTGTAACGGAATTTTGAACGTGATTTTGCCCCTGTTTAAAACGTCGGATTAACCCGAAATTTGTTATACTTATTAAGGACCAATGCAAATTAAAAAAAAAATGAAAAAAAATTAAAAAAATTGAAATTCAACTAAAAAATTAAAAATAAATAATAGTTTTAAAAAACTACCAAAATTAAATACGTTTTTATAGAAAATCCACCTAAAAAATAGAAAATAAATTTTAATAAATTTGAATTAAAAATAGTGAGAGAAAAAATGATTTTTTTGTAGAAAAGCGGGGGGTGTTTTTCAGGATATTATCAAAATAACCCTACTACTCATATGTGTTAATAAAATATTTATAACTATTTTCTATTGTTAAGTGGTAAGTTCGTAAAGAACTTGTGTTACAGGTACCAAATATAATATAATATATAAAAAGATAACGGAAATAAATGTAAGATTTTTATTATACACATACATTTATTTAATATACATCCATAACCCTGCAAAAGACATTTTTATATTTACCATACAAATATCTTCCCTTGGCGGGATTCGAACCCGCGACCCCCTTGTGTAGTGACCATGTCACTTACCACTACACCAGACGGCCGTCTTGTACTCCAATAACAAGGGCTATCTCGGCAGAACATCATTAACATTAATTAGGCATTAACAGACCGTTATGACTGTCGGTACATGAAGCATTGCACCATGGTTCACTTGCAGACTAAATGATAATAATAATAATGGTTGCTTCGAAGTAAGTATCAGTTGAATGAAATATTTGAAATGTATTCAACTGATAATTACTTTTCATAAATGTATATTTTTTATTTGATTGTTTTTGTTAATTTTTCAATAATACTATGTACACATATGGACTTATTGTTGTCTGAAATAAAATAAATCATTCAATCATTCACTCATTCATTCAATCAGTAGCGTAAGATCGAAGGTGTAACACTTTCTATATAAACGAAGTTAAACATCCACACAAATTAAGTCGCCAGGGAGTAAATTTCAATAAGCCTTCTTTTTTTTTATACCTCCTCCCCTCTCGCGGGAGCTACCGTCCGTATAATAATTTACCTAATTAAGTACTTGGAGGGGTTCTCACTTGAGGATAACGGGATGGAGTGCTTTTGTTTAGCCTTTGAGAACATTGATCTTCGAAAGATTTGTAAAATTTTCCGATATAAAATTCAGAAAATTAAAATATAATACACATTCCGGATGCTAAAATAAAAAAAAAAAAAATGTGTGTTGTCGTGGGACACCGGATAGGAACGAAGTTCCTTATTATAAAAATATTAATTTTATGTTCTATTCGAGGTATTCGGGTATACATTTGTGGTGGGTAGCCATCATACAACGCAAGATAATTGACAGATGCCTGAATCTCGCTTACGCCATTTTCAAGATTAAGCGCATATAAACAAGTTCCGAACAACAGCATTTGGACCGTCGGTCTACCGAGCAAATATCAGCCGCTCGGTGGAAGATCTTCCCTTTGTCGTATACATACACATTTTTTATTACGATTTTATTATTGATAAAAATAAAAATAATCGCAAGGGTCAACCACTCCGCAGTGTAATGGAGCAGCCTCACCCTGGGGGAACCGTCTGCTTGATCACGGTATCCCCTACGCCAGGTAAGTATGATTTAACAAGAGAAATACGAGAACGTCTATCAACTGTGTAACCTCTCGTCACTGCGATTCAGGAATCCTTGAATTTACGTGCAGCGACATCTGTTGATAACAAACTAAATAGAAATAAAATAAACATGGCGCGTAACGGAAGAAATTAAGATGGCGCGTAACCGGAAATCGTTACATACGTTTTTTCCTCCCTACGTCAATAAAGAAGTTTCACTTCAAAAAAACAATAAAACTTACTCTAATAATTTACAAACTCTAATACTTTTCATCTTCCTCGAACAATTTTCATGAATATTATTCAAGTTATTTTTAGGTTATTACTTTAGTTATTTATTTATTTTGTATATGAATTCTCTCATCCAACGCTTACGCACTCAGATTTCGATAGTGTGTTTGAAATAAGAAATTCAAGTGTGTGCGTGCCAAAGTAAATGTAACCTTGGGTAAATCAAAAAAATGGGACGTAGTTGAAGAAGAATTTAGTAATGAAATTAATATTAGTTGAAGATACGTATTATTTTTTTATTATTATTTTTTTATTGCATAGATGGATGGACGAGCTCAGAGCCTACGTGGTGTTAAGTGGTTACCGGAGATATAAGTTATAAGGTCTCAGTGTAGTTGCAACGGCTGCCCCACCCTTCAAACCGAACGCATTACTGCTTCACGGCAGAAATAAGTAGGGCGGTGGTACCTACCCGTGCGGACTCACAAGATATCCTACCACCAGTAAAAAAGTTTATTGTTAAGACATTTTAAAATTAGATACGTATTTTATAAAACCCACAAAATCTATTGAAATTAACACGAAATTAACGAGTTCATAGTGTAGACATCAAGACATCGTCATAAATTTTGAAAGGATAAAACTGAATAACGCCGATTTTTTTTTTAAGTTCTTTATTATTACTTCTTTCGTATTTAGGCAAATTATTTAAGTGAAATACGCTTTGACTTTAAAGTTACACAAACAAAACAGAAATTATTCGATTTTTAATTATAAAACCTAGCCGTTAAAAATATGTGATGTTTGACGACTTACGCTATGAAAAACATATCATAAAAATGAAATGACTCCAATGATGGGTCAACAGAGGTCTGAACAATAGTCATACTTTTTTTTAAATATCTGAAGAGACTGTGCAGCTTTTCAATGTCACGTTGTACCTTACTCGCTCACAAAACTCTACACTGTGAATTTTAACAATCATTGGAAAACGCAGCCAACTTTTCCGAAGTCATTGACCCGTTGCGTAAATGTCTAATAATAAATAATGATGCAGACATTTCATACGGAGAAATGATATGTGAATTATTTTAAGAAGGTTTTTCAAATTGAAAACAAGAAAATATCTGCGTACTGTTTTGGAAGTACGTTCCAGTCGTAAACTAAATGTGTTTTTCTTTCCAACTATGGCTACACAATTGTGTCGGTTTTTGACGTCATAGCGTCTTAAAAATCGATGAACACCGGCTGCACGGCCGAAAAAGTGTCACGTTCCACCTGAGGGTACTAGCGAGAGCTCGTAAGCGATAGAGAAACACGATCGACTGAAGCGCTGGCTCGTGACACATTTATCTCTCTTCTCGCGTGACGTCAAAGCTAGCAATTCGAATAGTTCTGCTACTAACGTTAGCACGTAAAACTATGATCCGCAAATCGACTTAACAGACCACCAATTATTATTTTTTCTCAGTACTACAATAAATAAAACTTTTGGTTACTAAACAAGCACCAAATGTCTGTAGCATGCGTTTTGTTGTTGATCTAAGCGTCGGTAATTCTTGTTTGATAATGGCCGAAAATTAACTAACAGACTAAAATATTAACAGATAACCACATCGCTAGCTTCCTTGAAATTTCTGGCCTTTTGTGAAAGTAGGGAAGGTAGTCATTAGACTTACAAATATAGTAGGTAGCAGCTTATTTCACAGCTGGTTAACGGCTTAATTTAGCGTTTACCATTTAACTATTTTCTAAGCTACGAATACCTTATCGTCTTCTTGGTCGCGGACGACTATAATGTTGTTGGCCGACCCTTAAATGACATTTTAACTACATTCTATCAAAAAACGTTTATTGACTTTTAGATGTCATATCATACAGAAAGAAATTATTATAGTATCTTGACGTCTAAGCGATTGTTTGGTTTTCATCTTCACTACCAATAATAAAATGGGGATTAAACCATAAAATAAAATTTAATTCTGTCTACAACTCACAAAAAAAGGCTTTATAGAAACATTTCCGACCTCAGGTAATGTGCTATACGTTACCCGTATTTGATCCAATTAATAATTCCAATGAGGGTAGGAGTAAAAAAAAAACAAATTTAGTGGGTAGTAAAAATGTGACCCTGAACCAAAAACCTTATTGTTAACAGTTGAACAAATGCCTAACCCGGTTAAAAGCACAAAACCCGACCTCAAAGGCAGTGTTGCACACATTACATCCACAGAGGCGTCTCGGAACGCAAATTACCCAAATATTTTTATTTTACTACACGACTGTACTGAATAATCTATTTTTTGCGTTCACACGAATATGCGCTATGGCGCCTGGAAACAAGGATAGAATTAGCGTTTTGCATGTGATAGTGAATCACGGTCAAAGTGCGTAAGACTTACGTAGGATCTTTTTGAGGAAAATTAGATTTTCTCCGTGGGATTTTATTTGGCGTATCAACCAAACAATCTAACTTATATGGCATTTATCAATTTAAATAAACACCAGTATAAGTGCCAGTATAAATACCAAGTTGGGTTCTTATACGGTAAAACATACCCAATAAATCAGAAAATATAAGTATGCGACAAACTTTTCAAGCATTACATAATGATATTTATAATGAGCCCTCAAAATTGGATAATCTCCTATTCTATTGATATTATGTGTTAGAAATACATGCAAGTCCACGTACATCTACACTTGTGAATACTGAATATATTTAACAAAGATACTGATTCTGACCTTGAACCCAATCCAGTTCTAAGGGCGTTTGAGTTACTTAGAAGCAGTGGTTTTAAAGATTATTTATATTAAAGAAATGCTGTGAAATAACCGCGGCCAAACACAAAAGTTAGAGATTCTGTTGCGGCCAAGAATAGCCGGGGCTAGAAGAATCTTCACCGACATTAATAAAGATTTTTAACCAATAAACGAACAAGATAAGCTTGGAGATATCCTGAATAGTTTCGCTCAGTAGACATGATCTATTTTTTTTTTTTTTTTTATTGCTTAGATGGTTGAACGAGCTCACAGCTCACCTGGTGTTAAGTAGTTACTGGAGCCCATAGACATCTACAACGTAAATGCGTCACCCCTACCAGGTCCTACTACCAGTATGTAAAAACAATAGGTATAAGTTACGAGTGTTGTAGTGATAAATGTGTTGTCAGAGAAATAGTTGAGCAGATTGTCGTTGTTGATTCGGATTTTTGAACCTGTCGTTCCGAAAACGGATTATATCTACCTTCCTCGTCGCTTCCGATCATGGAGTATCTGTCATAACCGCTCAGGTTCCGGTGTGTGCCGAGCCCGAAGTCGTCTTTCGTCCACTGAAGCGCCCCAGCCTTGTTCTCCACTCGACAGGGCAGAGTGACTCGCGATCCCACTATCGCACTCTGTTGACAAAGGTTAAGCTAAATTAAAATCGATAGTAATGACACTGGTGGTAGGACCTTTTTTCTACTGGTGGTAGGACATCTTGTGAGTCCAGGTAGGTACCACCACCCTGCCTATTTCTGCCGTGAAGCAGTTCGGTTTGAAGGGTAGGGCAGCCGTTGTAACTATACTTGAGACCTTAGAACTTATATCACAAGATGGGTGGCGCATTTACGTTGTAGATGTCTATGGGCTCCAGTAACCACTTAAAACGAGGTGGACTGTGAACTCGTCCACCCATCTAAGCATTAAAACAAAAAAAATACAGGGAATTAACGATTGTTATTGCATGGCCGGTCACCGGAGCAAAGTTCACCACACAGTGTGTTTTCAGAGATCTCCACGTAGCTAGATCAGGAATGAACAGACCTCCACAGTTTTTCTGAGCGTTATGATTATTAGTCTTTGTTCAAACGAGGTCTGACTAACTAACTAACTAACTACGTCGAAAATTTAGCGCTACTGCTCGACGTCCCCGGTCGAAGACCTAGAGGTAGACCCAAAACAAGGTGGAAGGACGTAGTGTTGAAGGATAAAAGGGAATGCAATGTTGCTGACGAGGATGTCGAAGACAGAGCGAAGTGGAGGAGTAAAGTGAGGAGAGCTGACCCCACCACCATGTGGAATAAATAGCTGGGAAGAGAGAGAGAGAGAGAAAGAGTTAAAACGAGGTCTGAGGAGAGTAATCAGCGTTGGTAGGGGCTGGGCTATGTTCCTAAGATTGCTGACGTCCAAGAGCGTCGGTAACTACTTGACTCTGGTGGGTCGTATGCTTCTCTACCAACAAAAGCAAAGAACCGCCCTCGGAGTTTTGCTGTACTAAATTGTGTTAAGCTTTGACAAATAAAACATAGGTGGCAGCGGTAAAACATAAGAGGAGCGATTTGACCATGCTCATAACGTCATAACATTACTGCAGTGTATTTGAACTACAGCAAAGAACATTACCGAACTGGTTATCAGTTTGGCATCACGAATTCCACGCTTGATTCGATTAAGTATATTTTATAAAATAGCACGTCCATATATTTCTCAATTTTGAGAAGGGAAAACGAAATAACGAGATATACGCAGTTATATTCAGTAATATAAGCTTTCACATGAAGAAAGACAGAGAAATGTTATTGTAGAAAAAACATTATTTAATTTATGTCTATTTCGGGATGTGCCTTCGTCTAAAAAAAATTTACATACATACATAATTAAGGAATGTAATTTATGTACCGCTCAAAACCATTCGATTTCGCTAAAAACTAAGATTGAATTTTAAAACATCCTTTCCTTACGTAAAACTCATTAATTAATCAGTTTTAAATAATAATAGGTATAAAATAGAGTTCCTTAACATCAAAACGGTGACCTTGATCGAAAAGTTCAAATCAACATATCAGGTAAAAAATGTCATTTACTTATTTTAAAAAAACACTTAAATTATAATAAATTAAAATGAAATGAATATATGCTAAATAAAATATCCAGACTAATACAACCGGAAGTGATTAATTACTCATCATCTACTCTAAGATCTACAGGCACGCCACACATACTTAATACAACAGAGAGAGACAGATATCAAAACCCATGTATGGGACATAACGTTTTTAAGCTATTGCATAGCTTTTGTCGCGGACTTTGAGCGCGGCTACCGAATCAAGGAATTCCATAACGAAAATAAAACCTAACACCCCCACTCCGCCTACCATGTAGCTCACGTTCAACACATTTACACGTTGCGCTTGTGTAGTGTTTGTGAATAAGCCCGCGGTGTGACGTCGCACTGCATGCGCATCATGACAAGTATGCCCATCTCTTTCTCGCGCGGTCTAGCTTATGAGTGTGAAGGGGACAATTAATGTTTTGCTTTTGTTAATGTTTATAAATGTGGCGTGGTCTTATTTTATCGTTGTTTTAATATTAAATTATTATCTATAATCTAATTATAATTACATAAGTTGATAAAAAATGCTATGCAATAGCTTTACCGCGGCAGTCCCCGAGTGCCATTAGTTTTTTTTTTCATTACGTGATACTTTTTATTGCACATCATGCTTTTCAGTTTGAAGGGTAGGGTAGTCGTTATACTATACTGAGACCTTAGAACCGATATCTCAAGGTGAGTGGCGGCATTTATGTTGTAGATTTCTACGGGCTCCAGTAACCACTAACAGCAGATGGGCCGTGAGCTCGTCCAAACATCAAAGCAATTTTGTTAATGTTATTGTTAGATATTTAAAGCTTAATTAAAAAAAATGAGAATATGCCTAATTTTTTTTCTTCTCCAATAGAAAAATAACAATGTAAAAAAGGTAACGTAATATGAATCTTCAGGTATCAGGGATTACGGTCGAATTTCAATCATCGGACGAGTACTAAGGTTTTCGAATACTGTGTGTTCACTATGCAATGTCGGGTGTGAAGCGATGGTATCCAAAGCCAAACGGTAATAGTAACACGTCTTTTTTAGGCTTCTGCGCACTAAATTAATTTAAATTTGAATAAGACAACGAAAAACATTCATACACGATTTTTGAAGTGAAACTTCTCATACGACTTCCAACAAGGTTGCGTTAAACGTTTAACGCTACCCGGGAATAGAAAGAAACAGAGCGAGAGTGTATGCGTGGCGCTCGAATGCATGCACGTAGTAGGTATACCTGCTATAGGACAGCGCCAGCGTTAACAACGAGTAGTATCCAATATTTTAACGAAGTATTAAAATATATATATTTCTATCTATAAGTTAAAATATATATAATATAAATGTTGAAGATGTCACTCTGTCTCTTATACACAGCATTCCCTATTACAAGAGCAATCTGATTTAAGGATGAAAAATGAAGATAACCACAATACTTCACATCGAAAAAGAAGTTTCACTTCATTCACGTGCACCAAGTTGCAGGCGCACTGTTTTTTTTATATGTAATTTAATTTTAATATGACCGTTTTCAAAAACACTTGATTTTAACTTTCAGAACGCTGTACCATTGTATTCAAGATAACTTCCATAAACTATCTATATATTAATACGTGAAGCAAAAACTTTGTACCCCTTTTTACGAAAATTGCGCGGACGCAGGAGTGTGAAATATCCTACATTTATAGAAAATATTATAGAGAAGGAGTGCAGAATGCTAATATTTTTTATAAATTTTAATTAAAAAATACATTAAATCAATAAAAAAAAACATTACACACACTACCATGTATTTGACACAACACATACATATAAATATATTCTTTGTTTATTGTCAATTGTCAAACTTTTTTATTGCTTAAAGTCTGTGATTAAATTGAGAATAGATTATGTAATACTGTTTGTCTTTAATATTATTTATCTATAGTGTAGTTTTGGTGAAATCTGTGATTATATTATAGAAGTATAATAGTGTTTGAAAATAGAACCATAATAATCTTTAAGCTTATAATTTCAATTAATTATAGTCGAATTTCGACTACTGCGGGATCACTGGTATCTACAATGACGTGACAAAATATATCCACTACGCTCCGGTGTTTCGTAGCCGCTATGAAATGTTTTACGGCAATTACTTCGTTCGTAAACCTAATTATTTACGAAGAAGCTAAAAATATATCTCTGCACTGACGGATAGGGCACAGCATAAGCGACTTGGCCTAAAGAAAAATCTGTAGAGGGAATTATTCGCGCATTTCTCGTCCTCCTTATGTCGTAAGGTGGTAGGACCTCTTGTGAGTCCGCACGGGTAGGTCCCACCGCCCTACCTAGTTCTGCCGTGTGAAGAAGTAATGCGTTTCGGTTTGAAGGGCGGGGCAGCCGTTGTAACTATACTGAGACCTTAGAACTTATCTCAAGGTGGGTGGCGCGTTAACGTTGTAGATGTCCATGGGCTCCAGCAACCACTTATCACCAGGTGGGCTCACGCTCGTCCACCCATCTAAGCAATAAAAAAAAAACTAATTAGAACCTACGTCTCATGATGGGCAGGTATATCTTTGATGTGCACGGACTCTACTTAACACCGGACGGGCTGTGAAACAATCTAGCCGTGTTATCGATAAAAACAAATATAATTTGTAAAACGTAAAGAAATATGCTATATAATAATAATAATAAATAATAAATATTTACTAACAATCACGCCACGTTAACTGGTCCCGTGATAAGTTCGTAAAGAACTTGTGTTACAGGTACCAGATAACGGAAATAAATGTAAGATTTTTATTATACACATTCATATATTTAATATACATCCATAATCCTGGAAAAGACATTTATATTTATCACACAAATATCCTCCCTTGGCGGGATTCGAACCCGCGACCCCCTTGTGTAATGACCATGTCACTTACCACTACACCAGACGGCCGTTATATATAAATAAGAACAGTAGCAAGATTAGGAATGAATATAAAAATATTTATCAATGACAATTAAAACCTAATGAAAATTATTGAACCGGTTTAATGGACACGATAACTTGCTCCCTGATCTGAATCATCATCGTTCACCATCGGCTTAATGTGAACGGTTAGAATATCAAACGCTTTTATCTAATAGGAATTAACATATGAAATACATATAAATATGCATGTCTGATTAGACTCATATCGAATATGATGGTAGGCCTAAAAAAGTGATAAGTTTACCTAACGAATTCTTGTAAAATAAGTTTTATAAATCAATAAATACGGAATATAATTGCTTGCTTGCAAATTAAGAAATGTTATTTAAGCTAAACACATATTTATTAGAGTGAAAAAGATAAATAAATATACATATATATCTTTTTACTTTTTAGTTTAAGATTTTTATTGATTGTTAAAACTCATGAATGAGCTCACGGAAATAGGCAAGGTGGTGATACCTACCCATGTGGACTCACAAGACGTCCTACCACCAATCATTACGCAAATTATAATTTTGCGATTTTGATTTTTACTACACGACGTCATTCCTTGACCGTGGAAGTCAATCGTGAACATTTGTTGAGTACGTATTTCATTAGAAAAATTGGTACCCGCCTGCGGGATTCGAACATCGGTGCGTCGCTTGATATGATTGCACCGGGCGTCTTATCCTTTAGGCCACGACAGCGACCAGCCAGTTTTTTTTATTTATTGTTATTGCCCTTGTCGGCAGACGAGCATACGGCCCACCTGATGGTGAGTGGTTACTTCTTCAGCAGACTTCAGCAATGCCAGGGGCAGAGCCAAGCCGCTACCTACCGCAGCCAGGTAGGGAAAACGTAAAAAAAAATCGCAGTTACGGCCAGTCCTACGATTAAGTCCGTCGACTCTGATAACCGCTTACCATCGAGTGAGTCGCGAGAGTGATAGTCCATAACCGATACTTAAAAAATAAATACATATCATTAACTGCAACATAAATCCTAAGTTCATTGAACTCTATTAAAAGCAATGGCATTTAAAAATGTATCGTAAATTTACAGTAGAACGTGATTTAAGAAATCACCGGTTTTGTTGTGAAATTAAAGACAAATTCGATTTTATTTACTACTAGTTAAAGATTAAAATCGAATTTAGAGAAAAAAAAAAACAAGAATAACAAAATTAAATTTAATCAGTTATACCGGTAATGTACTTTGAATTTTTAAAATCGGTATCGTCACTCAATGTATATTGGAATCTACTTTTTTTTATAATCAAACTACATCTATTACCGTATGCTCGTCTGACACTACAAAAAAAAAAAAAAAAAAATCCTCAACACCGATCTTAAAACCGGCCACGGTGGTATTTTTTCACTAGGGTCAATTTCCATCACATCGTGAACGCCTCCACCCACTTTGAGATATGAGGATCTAACTCATCCTCCAAAGCGGAAAGCCTGTTTCGTTGTGAAAAACCACCACCACTATGTTTCAAGTTCAGATTAAAATCGCACTACCTTGCACAATAATATGGCTCCTACGATGTAACTGGTATAAGTTGCTAATTATTTTATTTTGTATTCACTTGCATATAATATTTTTAGTATTAAGTTATAAGTCTATCTTATATTGTATTTATTTTTGACATGTGTATATAAGTAATATTTTTATGTAAGTTTATTAAGATACAGCACCGTCCATGCTAGTTTGCTTATTCCTCTCCCTGCAAGGTTGCCTGGAAGAGATCGCTTTCAGCGATAAGGCCACCAATTTATGTCACCGTCTATTATTTTTTTTACATGCTTACTCTGTATATGTGGTGTCTAATAAAGAGTTATTATTATTAATCAGAGGTATGAAATTAAAATTAGTTTCTCAATATGGCTAATCTATTCTGCCTTAAGCTCTCAAGGCACACAATACCATGGCGTACCGCATCGTGCTAAAACAAATGTGGTCGTAAGATTGGTTTGATTTTTGCCTACCTATTTGCTAGTAGCCTAAGGAACTATTTCAGCTACGCCCGGACCGTTAGGTGAGCTCACGGGCTCAACCTGAGAGAATTTGCTAACACTAGCCCTAACAAGAGCAGTGCTTCGCAGAATCTACCACCGGATTGGAATCGCCACCCACTGAGAAGATCCGGCGAGAAACTCAGTGGGCTAAGATAGGTTTAGATTTCGTAACTACCGGAATATAAGTACAACACAAAGACAGCATATTAAATAACTTTTTCTCATCAGTTTTTCAAATGATTTCCTGTTCTTTTAAAAGCCATTGAAGAGTTTAAATACTATAAAGAATTATTTAAAAAAATAAAATCCTTTCTCCAAAACAGTAACAGTTGAAGAGAAAATCTTAGATGACTGATTGAAGTCGAATTTCGATAATCTATACTAATTATCTATACTAATCTATACTAATATAATATTATAAGGAGGAAAGATTTGTTTGTTTGTATTGAATAGGCTCCGAAACTACTGAACCGATTTGAAAAAATTTTTCACTGTGTGAAAGCTACACTATTCCCGAGTGACATAGGCTATAATATTTTTTGAAAAAGATTAGGCTGGATCCTTACTAAAATTCCAATAATGTAACCCAAGGTGTAAAAAAATTACCTAAAATATTCTTTACATCGCGTGCCCTGCGAAGACTATTGATGATAGAATAAATGATGATACTAGATAATAGATAATAGATGTACTACGACTTTGTAGAACACATTATTATTTACAAAAAGTGTCGCGACAGCATATATCTATCTATTATAGTTATGTCGCAATAAGTGTTCTTTTATTTAAAAAAATAAATCAACGTCAAATATCGTTGAAATTTTTGTTAAAGACCCGAGCGGAGCCGGAGCGGGCCGCTAGTAGAGAGATAAAGTTATAAAACGTCCCACCTGATCTTGCGGTTCCATGGCGAATCTCTGTTCCTGGTAACCATGACAACCGACAGCGCAGACAATAAAAAGCAGGATCCGTATCCCGGCATCCGACGTCCATATCCGTTTCCCTCCCGCCACCGTTCTAAAATTAAATCTCGCACTCGGGATGCGCGCCCGCAACTTTAAAAGCTGTTTATTTCGGGAGTAGCTTTTGTCTGCCGCCATGTCAGTTTGTCTCGATGGGGCATGTTTCTGAAAGCTCGAGTGAAGCTTTCCTCATTTCCTTGATTTTCGTATGAATACTTCAGTAATAAAACTCTTTTCAATCTGAAACAAGAGAAATAGGGGCTTTTAAAAAAAACAGCGGGTAGTCAAACGCAATGCCCTCTTTAAGGGTTCTTCGTATAATCACAGAATTCGCAGGAGCCAAATTAATAATAATTGAAATTCATATTAACATAATTATTAATTGTAAACATTTATATGTATATAGACGTGGGGAGAGGCTATTAGGTTCAAGCGACATTTTGGCAACTTTACGGTAGAGCCATTTAATGTTTAAAATTTGCAATAAATATCATGACAAAAAAACTTCTTCGGCGATTTGAATAGGGTAAACATAATTGAAGTTCTATTAGAAACATCAAATCCTAAGCTGATAGCCTTGAGAGGCTACTTCAGCTTCGCCCTAACCTGTAGGTGAGCTCACGGGGCTCAAACCGGAGTGTTGCTAACACTGACCCTAGCAAGAGCAGTGCTTCACAGAATCTACCACCGAATCGGAAACGTAACCCACTGAGAAGAACCGGCGAGAAACTCAATGGGCTGTGTCTATGGGTTAAATATAACGGATATACCAAGCCAGTAAGACCGTCTTAAAAGAAGATTTATCACAACCCGATGAAGAGTTCGACGAACAAACTAATCATAGACACAGCCTACTGAGTTTCTCGCTGGGTCTTTTCAGCGGGTCGCGTTTTTTTTTTTTTTTGCTTAGATAGGTGGACGAGGTCACAGCCCACATGGTGTTAAGTGGTTACTGGAGCCCATAGACATTTACAGCGTAAATGCGCCACTCATCTTGAGATATAAGTTCTAAGATCTCTCAGTATAGTTACAACGGCTGCCCGACCCTTCAAATCGAAACGCATTACTGCTTCACGGCAGAAATAGCCAGGGCGGTGGTACCTACCCGCGCGGACTCACAAGAGGTCCTACCACCAGTAAAAAACCACCAGTTTCTGATCAGATTAAGCGAAGCACTGCTCTTGCTAGGGCTAGTGTTAGCAAATTCTCTCAGATTGAACCCGTGAGCTCACCTACCCATCAGGTCATAGCCGAAATAGCCTCTTAGGCTACCAGCGAATAGATAGTAGATAGTAGATGGTAGGCAGCGGCTTGGCTCTGCCCCTGGCATTGCTGAAGTCCATGGGCGACGGTAACCACTCACCATCAGGTGGGCCGTATGCCCGTCTGCCTACAAAGGCAATAAAAAAAAAAAAAAAAAAAAAAGATAGTAAAACTAAACAAAACCAACTGATTTCAAGATTTACAACTTTACTCACATTCTTAATGATAAACTAAAGTTGCTTAATTCGTAACCATTAACAAAAACATTTTTATCTCCGAACATAATTCAGAGATAGTCTCTCTTAAGCCTAACGAGAAACAGAATTACGTCTTAAAATACTTTTAATTCTATTGGAAGATGAGATTTACAAATCGCATTATCTCTAATCTGCTACTTTGTTAACGTATAATGAATTGAGTCATAATAATATATTTGATGTTTTTGATCGAGTCATTCCTAGAGATGAATTATGAATTACTTTAAGTCTGATTTAAGCTTTATATGTCTCTATAGATTCTTAAAGTCCCAATTTTATTGTATAACTTATGACTCAGCCTTCAAACCGAAACGCATTACAGCTTCGCGTCAGAAATAAGCAAGATATTGGCACTTACACGTGAGGGCTTACACGACGCCCAACCCTGCCTTTTCCTGCCGTGAAGCAGTATGTGAAGCAGTATGTTATATAGCCTTCCTCAATAAATGGGCTATCTAATACTGAGACAATATTTAAATCGGGCCAGTAGTTCCTGAGATTAGCGCGTTCAAACAAACAAACTCTTCAGCTTCATAATATTACTAGGGACCGACCCTCGCTTCGCTTCGTAAAGTGTAATTTATTATTGATTTCTCCACTATTTATTGGATGTTATTATACATATAAACCTTCCTCTACAATCACTATCTTCTACATATATAAAAATGAATTGCTGTTCGTTAGTCTCGCTAAAACTCGAGAACGGCTGGACCGATTTGGATAATTTTGGTGTTGAATTATTTGTGGAAGTCCAGAGAAGGTTTAAAAGGTAGATAAATATGAAAATGCTCGGAATTAAATAAAAAAAACAATTATGTTTAAAGTTTATTTTATAAAAAAGTTTAGGTCTTTTATTTATCGATTGAGGCACTACGAAGTCTGCCGGGTCAGGTAATCTATTAAAAAAAACCGCATCAAAATCCGTTGCGTAGTTTTAAAGATTTAAGCATACATAGGGATATAAGGACAGAGAAAGCGACTTTGTTTTATATTATGTAGTGAAGTAATATACTATAGATGATGATCCCAGTACGCTCATATAATATCTACTCAGGGAACGGTACCGTCCATTCTCTGATGAATCCCTTGGTTGCTTTTTACGACACACGCCTTTACTTAACCATAGGTTAGGTCGTTACCACATCCATATTCTTGTATATTTTATTAAAGACAAAGAAAATGTTCAGCAAACATACAATATAAATAAATATTGAATCAGTTAATTTAGCGCTAGACTTATCATTGCCACACATAATACAAAATTAATCAAATTCCTAAATCCCTAGTATAACAAAAAAAAAAGATGTGTGGTGTCGTGGGACGCCGGATAGGAACGAAGCTCCTTATTATAAAAATATTAATTTTAAGTTCTATTCGAGGTTTAAGGAATATAAAACTGGAGATTTTACAACAACCCACAGTCATTCGGTAACGTACGAACTTATTGTGGTACACTTCATTCACGGTTGTTTGCATAAAACTTAGTGTATTGCGCAAATTATGATAATTATAAAAAAATATGTTATTGTTTGTACGTTATTACAAAGTTAAGTCTTACACTGTGTGCATTACTAATAAAAATCTTACGTTACGGACGTTTTTTTCCCGGTTAGGGTACCCCTCCGCATGGTCCCATAAGGAACTTCGTTCCAAAAATACGCCATTATCACAAAAACACGTGTATAATTCGGTTTTATTACTGAACTGGTGACGTCCCCTTCAACGACCCATTCCATTTCATTCCCATTCATTCATCATCAAACTCTGTAGTTTTAACCATCATATTTTATTATTTAAAAACGGAGATAATTAACCCAAGTGTACATTATAAAAAAGGCGTTAAAAATAATATTATTGCCATATGGCTCGCAGTCAAAGACGGAGATGTTTCGACAATGGAATAGACATTAATCAAGATGTGTTTTAGTGAATGACGCGTTATTATCCTATTTTGTATTAGGCGATATGAACTGAACATTTTATACATTTATTAACCTCAAAAAATTTAAATATGTTATTTAATTCGATACGCAAAACCAACAATGAATTAATAACATTATATTATGTAGATTTTTTTAATTCCGTAGATAGCTTTTTTTATAGATCATATTGGTTTAAAATTATGTATATATTAAGATATTACATAATTATTATACATTATTATACACTATTTACAATACACTACTGAGACTGAAAGTAATTTCAACTTGGCACAAATAAGCCCAAAAACTTTGAGCTTGAATTCAGTTAATTTTCTTCAAGTTTTTTTTATTTTTTTTATTGCCCTTTTAGGCAGACGAGCATACGGCCCACCTGATGGTGAGTGGTTACCGTCGCCCACGGACTTCAGCAATGCCAGGGGCAGAGCCAAGCCGCTGCCTACCAAAATAGAGTAAAGTAAGGGAAGAAGTAAAATAAGGGATACCATTTAATTATATGCTTAAAATAAACCCTACAATTTCATAAGTAGATTCAAGGCTTACCTACTGACAAATAATGTTGACTACGTTAACAATACGACTAGTGATAATAAACTATATTATAAATTTATAACATATCACACTTGCAGTGCATGGTGATTTTCGAAAATGACTCATTTCTATCATAAGGTGCATTTTATGGTATATTACAATTAAAATTAAGTTGTGAATTTAAACCATATTATTTTACAGGTTGAAGAGATTTTGAGTCACAAAACAAACAAATTTTACTGGTCGAAATATATTTTATTGCCAATTGAAAAGTGTGCGAACTTATAACGGTGCACTTTAGTAAATAATCTTAAATGTTTCATCATAAAACAATTGACAATCTTATGATTAGTAAAAAACAAACACTGTAAACCACAATAACTGAATTTTCAGAAAAATCTATAAAATGAGTACCTATTTAAATTTCGACATAGCAAAAGCCGGTCACATCTAGTGATCGTGTTTCATTGATAATCAGAAAACACACATGGCCAAGCTGGGATGCACGTTATTGTCGCTTAAGCTCAAATAAACATGACTATTTTATATTTGGATGTGTTCATTCAAAAAGGAGACATCAAAAAGTATTTAATTCAATAGACTGCCGCAAAACCAAAAATATAAGAGACCGATTGTGTAATAGATATGTTTGTGGCTGTAACTATTTGACTTATCATAAAAATTACCAGACATGATACCGAGAGGTGAAAGGCTATTTGGCTTAAGAGAACAATTTGATGTTTTTAATTGAATTTCAATTATGTTTACCACATTCAAATCACCGAAGAAGTTTTTTGTCATGATATTCCTAATTATAAGCTTCAAATGGCTCTCCTGTAAAGTTGCAAAAAAGTCGCTTTTTTACTATCGCTTAGACGGGTGAGCGAGCTCACAGTCCACCTGGTGTTAAGTGGTTACCGGAGCTCATAGATATCTCCAATGTAAATGCGCCACCCACTTTAGGTATAAGTTCTAAGGTCTCAAGTATAGTGACAACGGCTGCCCCATCCTTCAAATCGAAGCACATTACTGCTTTACGGCAGAAATAGGCAGGGTGGTAGTACCCACCCGTGCAGACTCACAAAAGATCCTACTATCAGTAATTACGCAAATTATAAGTTTGCGGGTTTGATTTTTATTACAAGATGTTATTCCTTCACCGTGGAAGTCAATCGTGAACATTTGTTGAATACGTATTTCATTAGAAAAATTGGTACCCGCCTGGGATTCGAACACCGGTGCATCGCTC